TTAAAAAATGTATGACAAGTATCACAGTATCTCATTGAAAATGTAATTATTTATTAAGACTAAGTAAATGCCATGATTAATTTTTGTTAACATTAATCACGTCCATCGGAAGGTCGTCAACGTGTCTTTGATCACCTCGAGACTATTTCGGAAGGTAACAATATTACAAACGTCAAAAAATGATGAAAGGCCTTGAGCCAGATCATCAAGTTGATTTAAAGAATCGACCTTCAAATCTTTTTTAAGGATCATTCAACTTGGCATAGTTATTATTTCTTATAAAATATTTATCTAGGAAGACTTTATTTTGAATTACGTGGTGAAATAAAGTCAAGAGCCATAATATAAGCATCTTTGCAATGCTTATTCATTCACTGTTCAATTAAAAATAACAATCATCTTGAATGAACAATAAAACAATAATTATTATTACAACAAAATAAAAATAATGAAAGCAAAATTTTATTGTTTATAAAAAAATTCAATTTGTTATTTCCTTTCTCTTCTAGTTTGTTTATTTATGTATTATTTAAAAAATGATTTTTTATTTACTCTTATCTTGGGATTAATTTTTAAAGAAGTGAATGTTTATGAGTGTGCATTAATTTCTTATAAAGAATAACAAGACTGTGTATTTATGAAATTTTATCGAGAATATAAATAAAATAAAACTTAAACATTAATACTACCAACTTACAATTTGATTAAGAAAATATTCTTTACTGCTCTTGACATTCAGTAGTAATTTGATGTTCAATTTTCGATTTTATTTGCAAATAAAATTCAAATAAAAGTGTCAATATACTTGTGTTTATGAGGCTGACTCAATTATTAAAAGAGTATAATCTTATTATTCATCGTTAATTTACATATACACAGATGTTTTATCTTTTGAAGTACAAAAAAAAGTCTTATTTTAAATATAAATTGAATTTCAATTTCATTATGTATTCATTAATGTACCTATTTACAATTGTTTATTGAAATTGGTATTTACTAACAAGTTATCATTTCATTAATCTTATCATTACACGTGGAAATAACTATTTTGAAATCAAGAAAGACAAAATTATGCTATTTAACTTTACTTATTTGTTGCTGGTATTACATTTTTACTCTACAATAATAATAATATCAATTAAAAAAAATTATTAATCACTAATACATTAAAAAAGAGAAGCATATCAAAATAAAACATTACATCTTTTTACTTTACATTTTTAGAATATTAAAAGATTATTCTAGTTTAATACATCAGAGAAAAATATTTTTTTTTTATCAACAGAGGGATTTTTAGCTCTTGGATATACTCTACTCAGCATCAGAAGAATGAATTACAGTTTTAGAATTATTAAAAAGAATTTCTGTTAATATAAATACCCTAGAATGATGCATTTCCAGAACAGTAGGTGGTCTGCGTAGGTGATATCTCCACTAAACTGAATCATATAGAAAAAATCTAAAAAATATTTTCCATCAGGAACAAATCATTCTATCATAGAAGCTGAAAAATAAAACTTTAATATTGAAAATTTAGAAACTGACTGGATTTTTCAGGCAACGTTGAAAGATCCATCATTTTTCTTTCTTAAAAAAAAAGTTTATGCTGAAAAACAAGAAGAAGAAACATGAAAGAAAAAAACATGGAATTTTTTATATTCTAATTTTATCCTAGTAATGACGATAAACAATAGCTCTAGCATAACATGGTAAAATGACAGCAAGACTAGTCAAGTTGTTTTTTTAATCATTTACACAAGTATAAAAAATATCGGTAATAAAAAGAGATGCAGAAGATTCAAAGTGGAATGTTCACTTGGACATCATACATTTATGTGCAATTGAATATTTATTTACAAAAAATCTCAAAATGATTTCAATCAAAATTGTCAATATTTTATTTATACAAGTCTTACAATAATTTTGATTGATTCATTTTTTATTCAATTTCACTTTAATTCTTTTCTCTTGACTCCATTTATTAATTAGTCAACAATTTCGTAGAAAAAGATCACATGAAGCATTGTTTGATACCCATATTTTTTAAAATATTAAATCAGAAAATGACTCTATTGACTTTTATCAATATCAAGAGAGACAAATAACATATATTATTCATGACTCAATTAAATAATACAACACAATAAACATTGCATTAAAACCTCTTGACTGTCTCAATCAATCACCAACATACACAAAATAAATATTATATAATTAAAATAAATATTAGCTAAATATATTAATACGATACAAAGCATCTAGGTAGATATATAATTATTCACAATATTTATTATTAGCGCTTATTCAAACTAAACAATAATTATTTATTTATTCAACTTTCTAGAATGATTTTTGATGCTTTAACGACAGAATAAAATACCAAATTGTTCTATTCGCTAGATATTTATAACACTGTTATTTGAACAAGCACCGTCTAATGAATATGCTTAGGTACGCATTTTCCACCGTCATATTTTGTTTTTGAAATGTAACGGTTTAAAATTAAAGTACCTGCATATATTGCTGATGTTATATTTAGATTCATTTAAATTTCATCAGAAAAATGAAAATTATAATTTAATGATTGATAAGATAATGAAATCTTAGAAAAACATTATCGATGATAAGTTCTTGATCAATTATTAATTTTGGAACAGATACACCATGTGCACTCATGCAAAGTCCAAACATATTATTCGTAATTTAATCGTAATTTGGATAATTGTGCAATACTTAAGACCACAGCTGACATTTCTATATACATTGTGTAGATTATTATCTGGTTCTGTATTTGCACGATAAATTTAGTTCTCTCATCATCCACATCTGTTGGGATACAAAATGTAGTATTTCCATGGCTGAATAAAATACGTCAAAATGTTCCATCACAATCAACTATAGCTACATTAGTAAATACTTATTGGCAAGAGTCCCTGAAGGAAAATCTACGAGTTTACTTACTGGTTATGTGTGTACCACAATTTGAAACTTTTCTACATGTTTTCGACTTTTATAACTCACATCTTGGTTCAATAAATTTCAACGTACATATACAATGTGCTTCCGGCTTTTTAATAATAGATAAAGAATGCTGATATGCATGCTCAAAATACTGATTGACTCAACGAGCGAAAAAGAAAAGTACTTATTATCGAAAATCATTACTGAAGAGTAGGTCAATCGATAGTTCGTTACACCTTGACCCGAAAAAGCTGACTGTGATATCTGGTAACAGAAGCAATGTTCAATTATACATATAGGTGATATCCACATGTGAGTAATCGAAGACGAAATCTAGGGAAAACCAGGGTGAGACGGCCTGCTGCTTCATGATGGATCCCTGTCAAAAAATATAGCAATTTTTAAAATTCAAGTATAAAAGACAAAGTAAAATGATCTTAATCATCATATATTAAATTTCAGGAATTCAAACTTTTATACCTTTATAAAATGAATGAAATTCTTGGAGGAGCTGGTTTATCCTAGTTTCCTTTATAACGAAATCTCTTTTTATGTCTCCATATTAACTCGAAACACTTTATCCAACTTGTTAATATTCGATTCACGAACATCCATGTTTTTACATATCCGCAATATACACGTTGGTGCTGTTGCTTCGTGTCTGCTTTGTTATCTTTCAGACAAAGATGATATTATTGAGCTTGAATGTGATAAGAATTCAGAAGCTGATACATGAGTTTCATTTTTTCAGAAATTACTTTGTATATTTTTATCTTATTCTTTATGTTCATCTTCTTTTCTTATGAAGTTGAATGACAAAATATTGTGCATTTGATAATAACAATAATTATTATTATTACGATCATAAATAAAAACAGTTTATGTGCATTGAAAAAAAAATTAATTTCAATAAAACATGTTTTTAAAACGATTAATATTTTCTTGCTTAATTTTTATAGAAGCATTTCCAGTAAATCATCGTTCTAAAATAAAAAAAAAAATTACTTCAATAAAATTCTGTATAATTTTTTTTTTTGATAAAAAATAAATATCGTTTATTACAGTTTTTACTATAAAATAAATTAAAATCAAGTCATAAAAGAAATTCTTTTAGAAGAAAAAAAAATGAAAAATAGAATTTTAACTTTTACAAAAAATTTATTTGAATCAGTTAGAACGTTTAATTCTTGTCGATAAATTGAAATAAATTTACGACAAAATCAATGACGATTTTAAATGAATAAAAATAAATTAATTAAATTCAAAAGTATTAATTTAAATTGTGTTTAGTATTTAGTTGTTCATACAGTTTTTTTCGAATTTAAATGAATCCTTTCTGTTTGTTTATATTTATCTTTACGTTCCAAAAAGCAGAACTGGAATATTTGTTAAACAAAAGTCAGTCGTAAAATATAGTATATATAGTAACAATTTTTCAATTATAAAGCATAATTAAAGAATTACAACTGATGAAAAATATTCAGGGCCATGTACAATTAATTGAATTAAATCCAATTGACCTCGCTAAATCATCACATACTTGAATTTCTTTTTATCAATATTAAATACTTATTTATTATCAACTTTTAAGCTTAATTTTTTTTTAATAACAACAATAATAACACATAAACATGTTAATAATATAAATGGAGTGATTGCACGATAATTATAACACTTCTTTTATGACATAAAAATCATTTCAAACCGTTTATATAGATATCAGACAATGATTTCAAATCTCTGAATGATAAGATATTCACTTTTATAGTTTTATTTATTTTCAAAATGATAAATTTTTTCGAACAATTAATTGATTAATTGGATAAAATGTTAATTAAATCTGAATTTTTTTCTAACCACCATCTTAAGCACGCAATGCTTCTAATAAGCCACCACCAGGTTTTGTTTTTTGAGTCACATCACGCGTAACAAAGAAAGAAAACATCCAGTAAGAAAGAGTAAGGGCAAAGAGAGGAAGAGGGAGAGAGAAAAAAAAGGAAGAGCGATAGTCTCAACGTATAAATAAACGTTGGCTTGATCGCTCGCGCTTAGTATCGTTGTATTTTGTACTCGAAACACTACTTCCAAACGTTCTCTATTACATATGCAACTATTACGTATGTTCCAAATAATTAAAGGTTCGATTGAAAAACGTGATCAACTTAACCATTTTGTTATGCTGTGGAATGATTAAGAGCAACATATTTGAACAAGTGGACATTTTATTCTTCGAGAAATAATAAGTGACGCACATGTATCATGTTTATGTTAATGTATATATCATAAAAGTTCTATAATTAAATATTCTAAGCCAGTTCATGCATAGAGGTAATGAAAATGAAGATTACAGGAATTTTTTCTGTAAGATAAAGATTATTCTTTTATATAAAATCCTATAGAAAAATAATCATGAGGATGATTATTGAATAAAATGGATAAACGATTGTATGTAAATACAATGAAAGCATAGATGCCCAAAATTGAACGTGAATGAATGAATAAAAATTCGTTTGAAATTACTTGGATCCGGCTATACAGAGAAGAAGGAACATTGGCCTTTTTCAAGGCCAACCAGATCAACTACTATCGTCTGTTTATTTAAAAAGAAATACATATTTCAATAAATATACACCTCTCGGTGTTGGAATAAATATTTGAATTTCATCCTCATCGGATTGCATGTTAAAAGTATCTCTTAATATTACTGAAATACGTGTTGGAGAGATAAAATATCAAGGAAGAGAATGCGATAAATTGATGTCGAATAATATTAGTAGTGATAAAGAAGAATAGTTGTTGTAATTATTCGATAAGTTGTTAATAAGATTGAGAGTTAAAAGAAAAAAGATCACTAATTTGAACTGTGGCTATCTTGGGCCAACGCACTCGACTTAGCAGTGTAGTGTGTGCAAAGTGAAAAGGCGGTCGTATTGCGGAGGCCGCGGCTTTCACCCAAGGATTAACGTCTTGCATTCAGTGGCCTCGAGTTTTCTACTAGTAGCACTACAGTCGGAGAGTTTGAGTGTGCAAAAACGTTACCTGTAGGAAGTATGACGTGAAATAAGTTGAAAAATTAGCAAGTGCACATATACATTGATATAAATACATGCGTATCCATACCGAGTACGCTTAATTGTTACTTTTAACTCTTGGTGGTTGTGAGTGAACTTGAAATCAACAAGTTACTGATCGGAAGCGAAGAAAAATTATTCCATATTTTTTTTTTTTTTTAGATGTGAATTAGCTATAAATATAGCATGGAAATGTATATTACAGAGTCATCAAATGGCCAACCAGTTGCCAAGTTTGCGTCAACAAACTCAATTCCACTGACTATTCAAGAATCTGAAAATAATCTTACTACCGTGACTTCCAGAATTTTACGAGATAGAGATTCCAAGTCACGTCGTTACAGTGTGCTGGAGGATTTGAAAATACGTAGAGACAGTTTGTTTCATCGTGCCAAGAGAGGTAGCATTTTTGAAGAAAAAGAAAATAAAGATGAGGAGCAAGGTGATAAGCGTAAAGAAAAAAGAAGAAGCAGTGAAGGAAACAGTAGGCGTGGTTCCATTTTTTATGTATCTGAAGACTTATTGGAAGAAAATAAGGAAGCATTACTTGATGAGGATAATATGATTCGGGAATCTGAAGCTAAAAAAGGTCGAAGAAAATCTTGGCATCCATTGGTTAAGTCTCGAAAATCTGAACGTAAAAGAAAAAAGGGTCTTACCGGTATTTCTCCTCAAACTGGTAGCACTGAAGCTCTTTATACGGGCAGGCATAAAAGATTATCATGGTGGAATATCTTTGTGCCAGACTCCGTTTCCAGGTAGTACATCCAAACTGCTCCTTTCTTCTCTTCTTATACAGTTATTAATTATACATTTATTTTGAAATTATGAAATTCTCACACCACTAATTGTTTCTGATATTATTTTATACCGGTCAAGGTTATTCCTAATGGTCTAGCAATCATTAGTACAACTTTATTGGTTAAATGGTATTATTAAAATCAATGTCTACTAGAGATATTCAAGTATTGACATATGCCTGTCATTTTGACGTATATAATAATACTATCAATACATTATTTACTAGTTTCACTATTACACTGTGAAAGGAATGACTTTTTCACAGAAAAAAGTAATCATTTAAGTAAAGAGTTGCGAAAAAAAATGTTTTAATTTTCATTTTAATGATGAAGAAGTTTTAAAAATATATTTCTTTTTAAAAGGAAAGTTAATAAAGTAAATTAATAAAATATTGGAATATTTTATAGATAAAATACATTCAAGTAAAAATTGTATTCCTAACTATTTAAACGAATATTTCTTTGTTGAGACTTTTTTTTTAGTACACTTGTGAAATTCTTTTAAGGTAACAAACTGAATACTCAAGTACAGCTTGAAAAAATTTACTTTAAGACAGTTGAGTCATACAAGGGTTTTTCTTAGAAAATTGTTTAAACTTTGCCTAATTATAATCTGAATCTCTGTGACGATAATAACAGAAGAGAAGAAAAATTTTTAACATTCTAAGAAAGATGGTATTGAATTTTACATGTTGACCTGAAAATAAGATTACTCATATATAGTATCAAATTTTTAATTCATCACTTTTTTGTTCTGCATGATCAATAATTTTGTTATTTATTCTGATGTTAATTGTAAAAAATTAATCCATTAATATCTGTGAAATATGTGTGGGTGGGGTATTATTAATTTATTGAGGAAAATTTGATTATCATATAAATTAATACTGATTGAATATTCAGTGCATCACAACTATTTTAAACATCTTTAAAAATATAGATGATAAATATTGGAATAAAACATTAATATCTTTTATAGAAGGTGTAGGGGGAAAAAAAACTTCATTTCAACAAACAAAAGTTTTTTACATAAAATAGTATATTGAAAATTTAATCTCCAAAGCAAAGCAGTATTGTCATTATTTCTTTTTCTTTCTCAATTGTTATTTTAAAATATAAATAATTCACAAATTTCTTTCTGCAATTTAACAAAGTATATTTATCAAAACTGTGCTTTCTTTCACAAAATATTTAATAAAAATATTCATCTCAACCAACAACTTTATAAAAAGTTATCATGCACTTGAACAAAACAAACTAAAATGAATGTTGTGATGTGTATGCACGATAATAATAAAAAAAAAAATGTTGATACACTTGTGAGGGGATTGTCACATGCGGATATTACATAATCATTGTTAAGATAATACAATAGGGATGAGGCGCGAACTCTGTATCAAATAACGAAATTAACGGTCGACCAATTTAGGTAATTCCATTTGAATGCATAGACTTTTACAATAAACTTATTTAATGTTATTATTAAATTTGCAATGAACTAGTTATTAAACACAATTATACAAAATTATTTATTGCTAAATATAAGTACTAAGAAAAGATAATCAGAGTATTCGCATGATATAATGAAAATCAGTAACATTGCTAAGTATCTGATAATGCTGTTTATATGCTACAAGTACATATACATAAGCATACTTAATTCTGTTGGTGTATCAAAGACAGTTTATTTATCTGTCTGGTTTGTTTAACTGTTCATTAATAAAAATAACTTGGTACATTGATGAATAACAATTATGATCAGATAGACCTGAGATTATTTTTATCAGATGAAAAAATATCAGTAGTTTTTAATAAACAATTATTCAGATAAAATTTATTAAATAAAAATATTTTATTTGTAAGATTCATTGATAAATAATAAAGTTTAGACAACTTTAAGTTTGGATGAATTGAAATAAAAATTTTTGTTTGAGGTTTTAATAATTTTCAATTGAAAAGAGAAAAAATTATGTACAGAAATTCATATTAAATTTAATTTAAATAAATATATTTACGTCAAGACTAGATAAAAATTACATCATATTATGCATCAGATTTTTCGTCATGCAATGCATCAATACATTTTACAATCATAAATATAATTTTTTTTCTTTTTTTTTATTGCTTAATAATATAAAGAAATTTATTGAATTGGTAGGAAATAAATAGAGTAATGAAAGTTGATAATTATTGAATGAATAGATGTTGGTGATAGATTATTTGTGTAAATGCATTTGATAGATTTGACAGAAATATTATGAGAAAATCTCTATTTATAATCTTTAACTAGACTTTAAACGCCACGTTTAATGATATCGATCTAGTATCGAAAATTTTGATTGCAATTTAACGTTTAATCGTTTCAAGTGTGCTTGGTATTCTCATGCTATGCAGACAAACACAAATTCACTTACACGAATCTATATGTATAGTATTCGATATTATATATACTCAACAGCAGTCACTAACGTGAAATGTTCGGCATCCATTTGCTTCCTAGTCTTGGATGTTGTATTGGAGAACCAGATTGAAATAATTCTTGTTCATGCAGCTATTCAATTATATACATTCCAATAAATAAACTTAGTCAATTACACAGTGAAAAAATTTCATTTTGGTCAAGAGTACTTTTTCAAGTTGTTACAAAACATTTAATCTTCACAGTTAATTATTTAACTTGTTGAAAAAAAAATGTTATCACTATTTGCCAAAAATACTTACAATGTTTGCAAATTAAATATTTTATTCTTTCTCCAAACTAATAAAACATACAGACAGATTTTAGGTAAATTTACTTTGATATTTACAATGAAGCATAAAGGCAAAAAAAAAATCATTTTATCATAAGCTAAAAACACTTTTAAATTACAATACATACGTAGATAAATGTCAAGAGTAATAAGAAATATTAATTTTATCAAATTAAATGGATAATAAACTCAGATAAAAAATTTAATAAAACCATAAAAAAAATTGTTATGATTATTTATTTAAAGAAAAAAAGATTGTTTAAATACTTGAAGGTTTCTCTATCAATTTTGAACTCTAAAAAAGTAGGAAGTAACTTTAGTTTACACAACATGAATTTATAAACATCTATGTGGTGCAACAAGTTCTGATGTAAGATTTTATTACTACAAATTCCAATGTAATCAAATCAGAAATTGTTTTTGTCCAGGTAATTATAATGAAAGTTTAGCACAAAGTTGTTTTGTCGTCAACATCCAAACCTGTAATTCCAAAAAACCAACTTTACTCTATATAAACACGTTTTGACAATTTATTAATGACATGTAACATTTATGTAACTACTATAAACAATTGTACAGAATTTGCAAAAAAGTCAAGCCACTGTATTGTATATTTTCTTCTTAACTCTTTTGAAATACTGTGTTCATAGTTCCTTTTTAAATAGCTCCAAACCTTTTGTCAGTATTACTTTATTGTATGAATAAACATAACCGTCATTATATTTATATTAACGTGCGCATAAGGTTATCCATTAACATTACCTATTTTATATCTATCCGTTAAAATGAACATTAGTATGTATGATACTTTTACGTTTACCTGATGTGAATGCAAATTATATGTTTATAATTTACTACGATTTCCTGAATGTGAGCATATGATTCTTTGTTGATTATCATACCCAATAATTATTCGAACAGAACAGCATTTCAAATTTGATTTTACAACTAAAAATGTATTTTATTCATCTTCAAGTTTTTTACCATCTCACATATTTGCAGAACAAACTATGTTTGTACAAACTAAAAAAAAAATACCATTCGATTGAAATTTTTTTGTGTCAACATACCGTAATGCAACACTGCTCATATATTCATTTTTTTTTTTAGTTTTGTTTTTGCATGAATATGATCCTTTTATTGAAATTTTATCTCATTTTTTATGGCACTTAATTTTATTTTTATATTTTACTTATATTTATCTATAGTTTTAATTACTATTTATTATTTTATTTATTTATTTTCATTTCACTTGCTATGAAACCAGGTCACGACGAATGTCCCATCAAGATGTAACACTGGCAAGATCATCAGAAAATCTTACTGCATCCTTTTTTCGGTGTGTACATAAATAGCTTGGTAATGCTTCTTTTTAATTATTATTTTTTTTTTTTTTTTCATTATTTAATAGTCTTTAATTCATATTGCATATGCTTCCAAATTAGAACTTATAATTGTTTCTATTAAACTTTCAACAACTACCTTAAACTATTGAGTTTCTCACGTATATCATATATAAACATATGATTATAATTTTACAGGAGTAAAAGCCGCAGTGTAGATCATGGGTTTACAACGCCATATGATTTGGAGTCACTTCGCAACAAAGTTGAGAGCCGATTCGAATCAGTGGATAAACTTTCAAAAGGTAAATTAGAAATGGAGTATGTGGATTATATTTTAAATACTTTCTCATACTCATGCATCATTAGTTGGTTATTTACATTAGAGATGAAAAATAGAATGAAACAATAATTGGTTAATATGAGAGGATGAATTAAAGAAGCTAAACCAGTTTCAGTACAGAGATATTATATTCTATTTCTTAAATGACCTCAACCTCACTCAATTGCATCTTGAATCACATTGACTTACTTTTTCAAAGTCAAACATATTCACGTTATCATTTTTATTTATTATTTTTACAGTACTTGTCATCAAAGAGGTAGACTATAAAGTCATGTCTCAAACATTTGGTATCCATGTGTATTGTTATGATAAGACTTATTTGTGAGAACATATGACACTTTTATGTATCATTATATCTATTGTTCTTATTAATTGAACAATTGAGTTATATAATAATGACACAAAAATTAGACAATATAACAATAAGGCTACAGTAAAATATAATTTATATTTTAATTATAAGTTTTATAGATTTACTATCAGAAATTAAAAAAATGTATTGTTTTACTCTTTGATGACATAGTCCAATTTCTTAGATTTTTACTATCATTCTACAATGAATTTATAAATTATTATCCATCAAAATTTCATTTTAATCCAAGTGACTGTATCAACTCGTGATACAGTATGTACAATTGGGTTATAAAAAAAAAAATGATTAAATATTTATCAGTACCGTTAAACCTATATTATACCCAGATGTTTTAAATTTTGTTACTCATTATCTTTATCATATCATTGATTAAACATTCAGCAGTGATATTGTCCGTATACAATACGCAATAACCATTTTTTTTTTCATTTATTATAACTATATCATTAAAATAATGTAAAAAAAAATATCTTTTGATCATAATACTTTTTAGAATATTTATTTTTAAATGTTTTAAATGAGAAAGAGATTTAAAGCTAATCATGTGTTCAAATGAATGCTACATTCCAGCATTTACGATGTTAACTAAAAATATTTTTGAATGCATATAAAACCTATTAAGTTTATCTCATGCTTTATGTATATGCAGTATATAATAAACATTCTTTTTGACCTTTTACCATGAATGTTTGCAAATATCATAAATTATCTACGGAAATATATATTGTGTATTTTACAAAATCTGTTTCTTATCATACTAACTCAGCAAGTATACTTTAAAATCAACATTAATTTACCAACATGATGCAGGTATATTTCATATACATACTATCAATCTTTTCATTCATTTAATGTTGTTTATATGCAATTGAAATAAAAGGTGATCTTACAAATAAAGTTTTCTTTATATTGTGTTGAATGTATTAATAATAGACTGATAGATTATATTTTACATTCTATCATGACATATTATTAAGTATTTCACTATACAATTTTGATTGGTACTTTCAATTATAATTTGTTTATCAGATCAACTTGTTTATATTTATGTTTTATTGCTTACTATTGCTAAATTAGTGAGAAAGTTTTATTTATATTCTATTATAACACTCTGTTAGAAGTGCAATCATTGCCAATCATTAATAATATTTATAAGTTATTTGTTATGGCGAACAATGCATTTGATTATTTATTTTACGTTACCAACACCCAACATTATTCTTGTCGCAATTGAATATTATATAATTCTATTCTTTCAATTAGATCGCATAATACATAATATTTCTATGCTTAAAATTTAGAAAAACTTTTCATTAGAGGATACATTTCTGACTAAAAAAAATTCAGGTTGACCTCAAAATTTAATTTAAATAAACATTCTTTTTATTATTACAAAGAAGAATTTTTTTATCACCATGAACCAGTTAAAAGAGCTTTAGTAGTCGTATTCATCATAATAATGTTTCACTTGAATAATAAATAGTATTTTTAGTCCAGAAAAAAATGTAATAATAGAAAAGAGTACATTTATTTTGTTACATTTTCATTTTTCATCATAGATTTAAGTTGTACAGAATTGTGAAAAAATTTTGCGAAAAATTATTTAAATAATAATGCGATTTTTAAAAATTTATGTATTAAATTTAACAATGGATTAATGATAGATACTAAATTCAGAATCGTCACTCAATTGCATAAGAACATTAGATGTAACAAGGCCACATGTAATTGTATATAATGTGAATCATTTAAAGAACCTAATCCATATCCACTATTTAGATATATAACATATGACAAAATGACTAATGTGATTTCATACAAAATTGTCGTTATAATTTCTACTTACAGTAGATTATAATTAAAGCTAACAAAAAATTTCACAATAATTTAAATTATAATTAAAGCTGAAAACATAATGAGTATTTATTTAATCAGTATATTTGTTAATCGCGATAATACTTTATAATCTTCGTTTATTTTAAAAAATATATTATTATAGTTATAATAATTATAATTTATCTTTTTTCCATTAACCTAAAAATAAGTCTTAGTGTAAAATTAAAATTTAGTGTCAAATATGAATGATTCTGGATACTGATCATTTAAAATTAATTGTAGAAATTAATTAAATTTTACTTTTTTGTAGATTCTGACAGCGAAAGTAAGGATGGATGTAGTTCAAATGAGAAAAAAAATACTCGCCTTACGCAACCAGAAAATACTGTCGCTTATACGGTAAGAGAGCCTATCTTATTCGATGTAATAGTATAAAATCCCATTTTCTGCACATTATATAGATTTAGAATTAATTAGATAATTGGTTTACAGATGTTTATACTTTTACATCATTTTGTTATCGATCAAAATATTTGGCATTTTTTAATTTTCAACAAACAACTTTTCTTTTTTCTTTTCTAAATCTATCGTGGTGGTTATTAAATTTTTTTTCCTCACATTGTTCACTTTTGTTTGAAAGCTTCTTATTACAAGGCCGCATCATTCTTTAACATTCTATTCAACTTCTTCTTAATAGTAAGCCCTCTTATTCAGTCATCATTATCTTCAAAAATATCTAGGACAGGAATTCATGTTTCTTACTAATTTACGTCTTTTTTCTGTTACCGGAAAAAATTTCAAATCGTTTAAGCTCATTTTTAAAAAGAAAGTGTGTGCCAAAAAAAGTTGCAATAAAAGAAAAATAATTACATAATTTTAGGTAGGTGAGAGAGACACACTTACGTCAGTAGCAGCAAGGTTTGATACAACACCATCAGAGTTGAGTAAACTCAACAGACTTGGTAGCACTTTTATCTATCCAGGACAGCAATTATGGGTGCCAAACAAAGGCGAAGCACGTTTAGGCAGCGATTCAACAACTTTAGATGCACCAAGTCCTGATCCTTGTCATGATCATGATTCACAAGACGATTTGCCACCAGAAGAAAAAGGTATGCATTTGAATAATTAATTTACTTGAAAGAGTTAACAATTTTTTATTTAAATGGAATTTTATTTTAGAACTTTTAGACAATTTACGGCCTGTATCACCTAAACCAGGTCACATGGAACGAATCAAAACACCACTTGATAGCAGTGATACCACTGCAGATGATGATCCTGTCTATAGAGAAAGGTTTTTAAAAATCACCGTTCGGCATATTACAGATGGCCAGGTATTTGAATTTTCAATTCTCTATAAAAATGAAATAAAATTTTTTTTTTTAACTTGAAACAAATTCATTTTTATCAAATTTTTGTCTTTCAAAACTTTTACAATCGTTCTGGGCAATTTTAAGAAAAATATTTACTCATTTGTATGTATATGGATGTGCGATATGTTTCAAGGTAACCAAGAACTGATTAGATTTTTAACTCCAAAATACACATGTACATTCATACATTTCAACTTTATCTGTAATTCATTTAAAATGATTGTAGAAGGTTTAAAATGTTAGATTGTGGTAAAAATAGAAGTGCTAAAGTTCACATGAGTAAAAATCATTTATTTAATAGTATAATAAATACAACACTAATACTGATTAACTTTTATACTTTTATACAGGGTGTTGTTGGTGGAGTTTTATTAGTTACACCAAATGCAGTGATGTTTGATCCAAATGTGTCAGATCCACTTGTTATCGAGCATGGAGCGGAATCTTATGGTGTTATAGCACCAATGGAATTTGTAGTTAATGCTGCTATTTATTATGATATTGCTCATATGCGGGTCAGTCATACTAGTGCGCGTACTACTGATAAAAAGCCCGAAATTTATTATATGAAAAATTCATCGAGGTCTGATGGACGTAAATCTCTTTCGCCTGGAAAAGATGAAAATTTTTCAGAATTAGCTGCTGATGATAATGAGAGTGTATGTAGCTGTGCTGAACGAGAGGGTGATGCTTTTCCGAAAGCTTTTGAACGAGACCTTGTTACTCCTACAAATTTACAAAATGTACGGTTATGTACTTCATTATAATTAATATGTTATTATTAATTAATATTTTTAAAATATTATCAAAATTAAATTTAAACAAAAAAAATGGATCTATTTGAAGATTAATTTTTCTATTTTTTAGGATGAAGCAAGTGCTTGTGCAAAAGAAAAAGATAATAAAGATAAGAAAAGTGAGGACTCAGATAAAGAGTTGTGTGCTGGTGGGCAGTCTAGTAGGACACTTGAAGAACGCAGGCGTTCAATGTTGGATCACCATTGGGCAGTTCCCAGCAAAGACAGATGTTCATTTTCTGTAGATGATGAGCAACAAGATGCCGTCAGTTCAGATAAAGTATGACTTCAACCTATTACAATGATAATGAAAATTTGAAAAAAATAATTACTGCTATTCATTCTGATGAATTGAATGAAAATGAATCTTTCAGAATCAACCGGAATCGTCAAAGCCAAATATAATTCCTGAAGCTGAAGAGGGATCACTAGTCAAACAATCATGTCATGATTCTGGTATTGATATACGTGACCCAAACCCTTCTTCCCTTCCTGTAGTACAACCTATTCCTTCAAAAAAAGTGTATTCGGATGCGGACATAGTTTTATCTTCAGATTGGGTGCCACCAATTACAATCGCTCCGACGAATGTCTCTGCGAATACTCTCGATGCGGTGCCATCAATAAATGGGAGGAAAAAAGCTAGTTCAGTATCGTTTAGTTTAGATAGTAATGCCGAAGAACCGGATAAAGATGAAGAACCAAAAGAAGAAGACAAACCAGAGACTCGTAAAAATAAGGTAATATTTTTAAAATAGCCGTGATTTAGTTATGAGACGAGAAAAATTATTTATTTATAAGAATAAAAATTATGGCTTTCTTTTGATTTTTAGAATTGTTCTGAAGCCATTTAAACATTAAAGAATTTCTTGTTTAACTCAGAACTGTTTGTATTTTTAGAAAAAATTATTGAATTTTTTTCTGAGGTACATTAAAATCTCGTATTTCTTATTGCTCAAGTTTTTCTTCTAAAATTGTTCTTTATGATCTTTTATTATTCTGTAAAAACTTGAATAAGGACGAAAAAAATCTCTTCATGTTTATGAAGCTCTAAAAGCATCTTTAAATTAAGAAAAAAAATCTGAGTAAAGCACTTTTAGCTTTTAAATTCAAAATATGTCCTTTTTATTTAATATTATTATGTTCAATTGAGTTATGCCCAATTATTTAAAAATTTTTTGTTTCTCTCTATAAGAATTTTATTTAAATAATACAAAAATAATATTAATTTTTACAAAGAAATATGTAAAATTTAAATTTACATTTAATATGAAAAAGCAATTATAAAAAATTAATCTTAATTAGAAAGTATGAAATATTAATCCACAATACATTCAATATTTCAAATTTTAATTTATTTTCTAGCTCATATTCTTTTTTTTTTTTTTATTTATTTGTGTATAATTAAAAACGTGTACTCAAGCGTAAAATATTCATAATAAGCTTGGAATTCAACTGGAGTTAAAATTACTCATTATTCTTTTCAAGCAGTTATAAATATTTTTCAAGACATCAGATAAACTAACGAGATAGTTGACTCAACATCAGTAATTAATTTTCAACGCTTTACTTACAGATGTTGAAAAGATTGTCTTATCCTTTATCATGGATGGAAGGTTTTACTGGAGAGAAAGAAGATGAAAACAAAACAGTACCTGATAAAGTATCTAGCCTACCAAATAGTGCAGATAGCCATCATTCGTCGGTATTCAGTAAAGTATTTTCAAGGTGAGTATCAATATTTCATATGGAATATCAAACAATTTAATAATGAGTGAAGCGTTCTTTTTTATACTTTATAAAACCAAATTATTGTGCAGTTTTTGCGTTAAAAAAAATTTTTAACTGCTTAAAGACATGCGTTTTTTCATCGAATTCCGTTCTTTTATTGTTCCTTTGAATCTCGTTAATTGTTAATTGAATAGGTTTATCAATAATGTCTTCGATTAAATAAGCAGCCAGCTTATTTTTTGTTAATTTATTATTTATAATTTCTAATAAAAAAGCTTTTAGAAAGATAGAGCAATTATAAATTATATTACTTTTAGCATTATTTTTTCTCTAATAATCAAGAGCACAATATTCAAAAACAATTTTGAAGAATCTAATGTCATGATGAAAAATGTAATTAAATAATCAGAGTATGTTGGCAAAATTGATAAACCAAATCTGCCTTTTTTAATAAAATGCAAAAATGTTGGATTTATTCATTATTTAATGCATTAATAAATCATTTTAACGATAAAACTAACAACAAATATGTAATGGTGCTGGATATAAGCTCGCCGATCAACCTGGTGAGTGACTTTAGCTCAGGACTATTTGCTAAAACGCCGAGTGAAGAGAGCGGTGGAGGCGGTAGGGCTGGAGGAAATACACTTCCGTCCTCCGCCTCTTCTCTCTCCCAGGACAATCCGCAATATTCTCCAGCATCTACAAGCCTCATTGGGTGAGTCTGGTCCTGATATTATCATCAGTCCACGACGTAATCCAATGGCTCCTGACGCTTAAACTCATTTATTTGTGCTACTCTTATGATCGTCACTATTTATCATTACTTTCTCATTAGTAAACTTCATCATTGTTACACTATACAAAACTTTGTGATATTGATGTATCTTTTTGATAATATCATCATTTTTAAATGTGTTTAATGTTCTTCTCTTCTTTATCTGGTATCTAGTATTATTTTAGTATTTCAACACTTTATTATCTGTTTTTTATGCATATACTTTATTTTTATTATTGTTTATTCTCAGATTATACGTATATATTTTACGTGTTAATAGCTGACTTAATCTTAGTGGTGAAATTATTGCTAAAATGAATTACATGCACGCTTCTGCAAGTGCTTTTTTGTTTAACTTTTGGCTTTGAATTCTTCTCGAAATTTATGAAGGTTATAACAAACATCAACTTTAATTGTATTATTATTTAAATATGACTAAGTAGTAAATGCATTCTTAAATGATGTAATTGCAACATCACAGTAAGTTTTTAATTCTAATGTACTTCTTACTGTCATTATATATATATGTATATTGTTTGGATTCTTATCATCATTCATTGATATTTTGTAATATTTCGATTCTTCTGAGACCAAAATTTTTTTTTCTATTTATTTCAATATTTACTGAAAAATTAATCAAGAAGAGTATATGCTATCTAAAGAAACATTTAAACGATGACTCAAGAAATTCATTAATTCTTTTAGAAATGTTCAGATGGTTATGTCTTATACTACTTTAATTATTTTATTTCTTTGAAAGAATTGTAGAACAATAGAAAGAAATATCTCGAGAATTTTTGTCAAGCTTGAAGATATTTATTAGAATAAAACGTTATTAAAAGTTTCATGTAAATCATTCTCAAGATTGTACATTGTTTTGTAAATTATTTTCTTTGAATTCTTTATTTTGTATCATTATTTTTACAAAAATTCTTTCCCTCGAGTTATCTCACTGTCACTTAGTGTCATAAAATCTAGCAACAACATTTTTACAATTGTTGAGATATTTTACATAAATTTTTTCAACAACTTTTTTTTTTTTACTCCAAGACAGTTTTTAATATTTAAAAAAAAATTATGAATTTATTTTTTCCTTACGTTTTAGAGAATATTACTTTTAAAAACAATTTAAATGTTTGAATTTCTTGAATGATTCTCATTCTTTTTAGAAAGTATATATATCTATTATAGATTCATTTAATTATCAATGTCAAGAACAGTTAGCTTGGTCCCCTTTTTTGTTCCTTATCTATCTCTGTTAGCCGAATGTTAAAACTACTCTTTCACAATGTGTATTAATTAGAAAATATTCTGGAAAAAAAAACCTCAGAGCAAATTATCATGGTATTGATACATGAATATATCTTATCTGTCTTGAATAATACTAAAAATGAATCAATGTCTGTTCTTCTTGTTATTGTGATTAATGTATTGTTTTAAGCTTATAACAATGTATCATTATAAGTGTCATTTGTTTACAGGCGCTCATCGATAGGTACTTTCATTCGCCAACAGCCATTAATATCATCAGGCAGTAGTAGTGTTGATAGTGGTCGGGGAAGTAAAACATCAACAGCACCACGACTTGATTATCGTAGCATGGTCTCAGTGGATGATATGCCAGAGTTGTTTGTTAGTTTTGACAGTAAGTATTCAATATATCACCAACTTTTACAATATATTTAATTTATAAAAAGGCTAATACAACTATAGAGGAGATTAAAGATAAATTGATGAAGTAAAAAGAAGTTTTACGATAAATTTTTAATAATATATAGCATAGAAGTTAATTCAATTAATAATTGAGAAGTCGTAGAAGTCAGTTCTGATATTCAATTAAAGTTTAAACAAATAATAGTAAAAACTAGAAGATTGTAATTGTAGACTTAACTGAAGTAATTGAAGTTATCAGCTGAAGCATTAAGGTAAATTGAGTAAATTAAAATAGGTATAACTGAGTTTGAAATTTCAAGGAAATGAAGAAAAGATATTTATTGCATCATAGAAATTTAAATCATTCGTTTATTATTTGTAGAATTTTCGTATTCATTTTGGAGTAAGTAAATATTTAATTTTTTTTACTATTTATTTTTAGAAAACAAATATTATGGTACAGTTTGCCTTTTGCCAATTTATTTAGGAACGCAATTTCAAGAATATTAACTATTTGAGAATTTTTCAAATGTGTTTCTTACATTTTAACTATGATATTAATAAATAATAACTCTTCCTAAATGTTACAAAGTGAGGTAAATTAAATTAATAATTATTAATAGACTTAGAATCATCAATTTAATCTTAAAATCTTCTCTACGTTTCTCGTCAAAACGTAACTTTATTAACAAAAAAAAAACAATGGAAATATCTTCTAACAATTTTACATTAATTTCAAATGAATATTTCAAACAAGAAAAAAATCACGATAAACTCCAAATTTTAAATCAAGTTGTAATAATAAATTATTCATCAAATAACACAATTATATATTTTAATGAAATTAAAAAATTAGCAACAATTAGCAGTAGTATTTATAGTAGTAACTGCTTAGAGAATTTACAGCTTATGATAGCCATTATACATGAATTAAAAAAATTTAAATACATTCATACTAATTCAATAATTTCATCTATATTTTTATTCCTTTAGTCCAAGCACCTAATTTTCCCGAACTTGAAGACCTCGGTAGGTTCATACCGTATTAGATTGCTTTTCTCCTTTTTCTTATACTCTCTTCTACTTGATAATTCTTCTTAATTTTATTCCTAATAACAAATGCAGTTCCTTTCATTCACTCTATATATATTTATAACTGCTTTTAATATCATTTTTGATGATGTAATGAAAAAATGATTTCTTTACATTTCATCAATCGCGTGCTCATTCTTTTCTTATTTATGCTTTGACTTATTCAATTTTGATTATTACAATGCTTTTACTGTTAAAATGTATTTTTTTAATGCCGCTTTATTTCATTTATTCATTTTATTTTGTAAAAATACTGATGTTTGAGTGTCAAAATCAATAATTATAATTATGTACATTAAAATTATGATATAAAATAAGTAATGTTGCATCTAAAAAAAAAAAAAAATTGCACTGTGAGTGAAGTTCTTTTTTAACTAAAGTAAAATAATCATTTTTTCATTTTACTAGAATTAATTCCACGGCCAGCACGTAGCTGCGAGGATCCTCCATTGTATTTAAGATTACGTACTGGTAGACCAAAAGATAAAAAAATTCCTCGTTCCACTCCTATAATGAGCTATGGAAAGAAAAAACTACGACCCGAGTATTGGTTCAGTGTACCGCGAAATAGGTAAGATATTTTTGTACTCTTTGTTTCATACAAGGTAAAAAAGAAGGGTTGACAGATTTTACATATTAAGCTTTCATTGAAACAAGAATACTCTGTAGGATAATGAGTTTATAAATTATTTCATTAACAATAGAGATATATGTTATTTTATTTATTTTTAATAGTTGATTTGAATTACTATTCATTAGTAATTTACATAATATATTCTGTTTAATTTATACATTTTCGTATAACGTTGAACTTTACCTGGTATTAAAATATTATAAATAGATAATACTTTGGATCAAGAATGTGTAGAAAAGAGTCAACTTTCTTACTAGAATTTTCTGGTATATATTCTAATTTTAATTTATTAATCATAAATACAATATTTGAATTACTGATATATTTTGTAGCTGGTTTTACAATTTCGTATTATAAAAATTTTATTTTTAAATATGTATTTTAACTGAATATCTCAACAAATTGGCTATTAAAAGATAATTGCAGTAAAATAATGATGAAACTTGTTATATATTAATTGGATGTTATTAAACAACACTGTGATAATCAACAACAAATTTAAGTCGAGTTATCGATGTTTCTTTATCTACAGGAATATTATTATAAAAATTCACAAATACTTTCATGGAATAAATTCATTTGTATTTCATTATGTAACTTAAGAACAATATATGAAAAACAATAAGGAGAACTTTTAGAGATAATTATCAAGATTCTTACTCTAACTTGCCTTAGAATATTTATTATAAATAATTTTTTATCGTTAAATAACATCCAGTTATAATTGTAAAAAAAATCGTAATCTTATTTATTTGGATTCCAATAATGTTTGTTTAGAATCAATAAAGAATGAATATCAATACAAATATTGGAAGCTTTTTCAAATTTATTGGAGTCAAAATATTTAGAATTTGGGTTGATTTATATTTGGAAATGCAAACACATCAAATTTATTAATACTAGTAGGGTAACCAGACTTCTAAATGGAGATCATTAAGATGATAGATAAACAATTTAAATTTATTCTAAATAAATTATTTTTAGCCTTTTAATAAAGCATTTTTTAATTCAACAAGACATTTTAATTGAATAGTCTTGAACAAATTAATTATGTGATAAATAATTAACCTTTTTAAATTTATTTAATTCAGTAACATGAATCAATGTCGAAAAAGTATTAATAGTCTTAATTGGTGTTGATATTTAATACTACTTTAATTTTGTTTTACATATTTAAATAATTTTTATAATGAACACAATTTTATAATTACAGGGTAGATGATCTTTATCGATTTATTCATGCATGGGTTCCAAATCTTTACGGAGAATTAGATGAAAATTATTGGCAAGAACGTGGTTACATACTTTCAGACACCGATACAGATTTATCGCCGGAAGCACTACCTCAAGACAGTGGAGAAGCCACTGAATCTGCGGAAGGAAATAACAGGGATGATATAACAGAGTTAACTCGAGAATCATGGGAGGTAAGCTATTGTGGAATACTGATCCATACTTTGTAATTAATTTAATAATATACAAAAAAAAGAAATATCTAAGAATATAAGTATAAGTTTATAATGTACTATGATGGTGATGATTCGTATACATTGGCATAATTATTAGCTGATCAAGGCACCCTACGTAAAGCTCTACAGCATTTTGAAGACTACTGCATCTGCTGACTCGGAACAAACCCAGGATCCTGAGGTATCTTATTTGTCTCGATCCGACGATTTTGAGATAAATGTGATGTACGCTGAAGACACGTTTACGTAAAGGATGCACTTACCTCTAGATTTTCACTTTACAATATTTCAAGAAACAACTTATCTACACGAGAACATTTATTATATCAGCCATTTATACAAAATACTCTGGCTAACCGTATTCATTAAAACTTGTTAGACTTGTGCTTGCATGTCATACTGACAAACTTCAAATTCACATGATAATTCAAGTCTCATTAGACACTTCTACAACAAAGCTGTTATAATTTTTATTTTAATTAATCCAATGAATTCATCAATTTCTCTTTCTCGCTTTAGATCTTAACTTAAATCACTATTCTGTTGATTTTAGTTAGAAAAAAAAAATTGTCTTCACAATTACTCTACAAAATGATTTTACGTGTGAGTGCAATTAGGGAATCCGAAAATAATTTAGCTTCAATGCAAATAAATAACTTCTGCTATATATAAATGAATTCATTTTTGGCCATCTTCCAAAGATTCAGTGTACATTTTGCTGCTCAACTTATGATCACAAAATTTGTTCTTTTTGTGTTATAAAGAAAAAATAGCTAGAGGTTCGTATTTTCTTCTAGACTATTCATTTAGTTTCCATGATAGTTTCTAATTCTGTCTTCTCCAAATGTGTTAATTAATGACAAAGTAATAATAAGTAAGTAAATACATACATAAATAAAAAATAATCGACATCTCAGATAGTCACCAAGATGTAATAGCATTTCGTTTTCGAGGTCAACCTTCGTTTTCGAGGTATTCTAGATATATCAAGGGAGACCATAAGTACGGTACGGAAAACGGAGGGAGAAGGGATTGGAGGCTGTGTCGTCAACCAATCTGGTTCAACTTATTGCAAGTATTTTATTAAAATAATTTGACGAGATGAAAGTTCGCACGTTTCAGTCACCTCCAGAACTTCAGATGAACTACTGCAAAATTCATTTTTCTTAATTCATCTGCGAAGTATTTTATTTAATGAATAAACATTAGTATCATTGTTATCATTATTTTTCCTAGTGAAAGTCATTACTGTTGCTTTTATAATTTTTTTTTTACAATGACGGCTGATACTTTTTCAACTCTTAACTATGTGTTCCAACATTCTTCAAGAATGCTTTCGGTAAGAATGATCATTCTCATTGTTCATCATTTCTCTAGTTAGCATAGAATCTCTTTGTTTATGAAAAAAATCATTGGGATTTTAATTATCGAGTGTTTAACTTTCAAATGCAATATGCATTCTCACTTTCGCTTTCTCAGTGTACTTTGACCTTCCAAAGGATCGTAAACATTGATCAAATTAAAATCCAAGGACTGAAAGTAAGAAAAAAATACTGAGTATAATCAGAGTATTGTTTCATGTAGTTATTTTAAGATCAACTATAAATCTTATCCAAATATGTTTCTGTTTTTTACACAATTATTCTTTTTGCCAATTTAAAAGGTCATTCATCTGATATACTCAAGGTTAAAACCTTGGTTTATATATTCTGCTGTTACTTTTTAACCTTTTGGTTTTTATAATATTACACCGAATCGTATATATTTTTACTACACAAACAGCTACAACATAAAAAATCAACACAGCATTGGAGATGTTCCTTTCCATGTAGTTTTAAAGTAGATATTTTATAGATTGTTCAATGTTTATGTTTTTATTAGTTTCTCTGAATGATTTTAAATAGTTTTCACATGTTTTTTTTTTAATATGATATACGTCGTAGATGTAGTATAGGACGTGATGTCTCTAACTATCAATGAATTTACTTTCAAGCAAATAAATCAAGCTTAGCTGCTTGATTAGCCACTTGTATTGTTTCTAAATCAAAACGTAAAATAATTATAATTATTTAAATAATTATTAGTCATTTATTTTAAATTGATTTCATTTTTTAGGTTTTGTCCATGAGTGAAGAGCTTAGACGAGCTTTATATGCTAACAGTGCAATATCTCTAGATGTCGATGTTATTGTTCCTGATCTGGTTGGTACTACAGAAATTCTAAGTGATGAACATCGAGAACAACTTTGTCGCCATTTGCCTGCTAGAGCTGAAGGTTATCTCTGGACACTTGTGTTCAGTACTAGCCAACATGGATTCAGTTTGAATAGCATGTATCGAAAAATGGCTAAAATTGAGAGTCCTATTCTTCTAGTCATTGAAGACACTGAAGGGAATGTAAGTTTTATTTTATGTATTAAAATTATATTAAATTGGAGTATAAGAATGAAGAAAAATTTTAAATGATTTGTTTATCAGGTTTTTGGTGCCCTTACATCATGTTCCCTTCATGTGAGTGATCATTTCTATGGAACAGGAGAGTCATTACTCTTCAGATTCACGCCCAGGTTCCAGGCGTTTAATTGGACTGGTGATAATTTATATTTTATTAAAGGAAATAATGAAAGTTTAGCGATTGGTGCAGGAGAGTAAGTACAGAAATAAGTTGCATAATTTTTTTTTTATCATTACCCTAGTCAACAAATAGAAACTTTTGTTGAGACTGATGTAATAATCTTTTATATGTAATCAAATTTGTATCATACTTTTATTTTGAATTTTAACTTCATTCATGTTCGAAGTTTTGCTTATGGAGAGCTCAAAGTTTTTATCAACCGCTAACTTATGACATTTTCAAAGTTCTAAGATCATATTTAAATAAAGCTTTTTTATATAGAGATAAAAATATGAACACAGGTATTAAACGTAATGCAAAACCTTTTGAAAAAAAACAACGCAAAGATGTTTTTATAAAATTCTTTGAGTGACTAAAAAAGATTAAACCTAATAAATAAAAATAATTTGCAAACAAATAATAAAATATTCATTAAAATAATTCGAAATTCAAGTTATGTAAAAATTTGATTTTTTTATGTTGAAAATATTTATCTTATAAAAAGGAAAGTAGTAAACGACTGAACAAGTTTCAACAATTCAATAAAAATACATACTTTTCCTGAATAATATGAATTTTTAAAAATTTTATCACTTTAAATAGAATTCAGCTAAAATTATGCTTCATTTCCACTTTAAAACTGCAATCACTTGAAATAAATATTATAAATACCGGTTTTAAAATCTCAGACTTAAGATCACATTTATTTAATACCGATTAATATTATAAAGTAATTTATAGAAACATGAGTAATTGTTGTTAAATTAATATATATAAAAAATGGCATTATTCTACCTGTAAATTTTAATGAAAAATGATTATTTATTCATTCATTGGCTGGTTAGTAACCATAATTTAGGAGTTCTTGGTTTTTTGACTTTCGATCCAAAAATATCTGAAAAAAATGACGCAGTAAAATATTTTGCTGATGATTATAATTCTCAGTAAATCAGAATGAGCTTAATATAGTTGTTGACTAGCGTAATCAATCTTAAAAAACAAGGGTCATAATTCTCATTACTTATCTTGATACTATTTTTAGCGGCAAATTTGGACTGTGGTTAGATGGAGATCTATATCAAGGTAGAACTCAATCATGTAGTACATATGGCAACGAACCTTTAGCACCTCATGAAGATTTTGTTGTTAAGACATTAGAATGTTGGGCGTTCATATAGGATTCGGCCACACTTTTGCAAAGTCCATCTTCTACCTAACTTGAAATGAACTAAGGTATACATACATGTATATGTATATTAAATATTCTAATTATATATATATATATATATATATTATATGTATGTATATATATTTATGATCAGATTAGTTCATGAAATAATACCAATGTGGGTAATAATCAAATACGAAATGGTAATGGGAACGCTTTGACATGATTGTGATTAGTGCACTAAAAGTAGATAAGACTTGTATTTGCAACACAAAAACATAAACAAAAAATACTAATATAAATTAGTTAATAAATGAGAAAAATATATTTTCGAAGATGAAAAAATGAAGGGTACTCTACAGACAAAACAATTCACTAATAGTTAATGCTATTTGCGTTTATTACTCAAATATGATTGATTAATCAATTAATTAATGTTTAATCCTTTTGTATTTGTATATTTATTATTTTCCATCAATTCAATTGTATGAAATGTTATTGCTTTACGTGCTTGAACAGTTATCGAATCCGTATTATAATTAATGTATATTCGATTCTACTGACCATTTTATTTCAGTTCATATTATCAATATAATATTATGAAGTTTAATGAGATTATTATAGAGATAATTCAATATTTTGAGTGCAAACTGTGAATAAAAATTTTCAAAATATAAATCAATAGAAAATAATATTACGATCCAATGGATTTGGACGTGAATAGAAAAGTTCAGGTGGCATTGTTCATGATGCCTATACCTCATAGTTTATTTAATACGAAATAATATCACTGAAAAATTTTAAATGAACATTGGTTGATGTGTAGATATTGTAGATAGTTAGTGTAAATAAACAATTTAAAGTAGTCAATTTTAATAATGTAATGATGATTATAAATAATATGAAAAAAATGAGTAAAAAAAAACTTGTATGAAATAATACCGTGATGATATATAAATATTTATATATCAAACATATTAAAAATGAAATAAATATCAACATTAATTCAGAAAAAATATAACAAATAACACTATCTTGTGATGAAGTATTAAGCATATCCGTAAAGCTCTGTGTCTGAACGATCTAACTGACTTAGTAATAAATCTGTGTTAAAAACAATCCTATTGATTATACCAGTGATTGTTAAAAAATTAATCACTATTATCGAATTGACCATTGCATTTGTGACAATTCAGTAAATAATTAATACAATACACAACGAACATGAGCTAAACATCTTCAAAGGTAGTTTATTTGTCATGAGCAGCTTTTCTTATTTACTTTTATAAATTTTGCTGTTATTTACGCGTACTTTTAAACTATGTCTTTCTATATGATTAAGTTATCTATTATAATTGTTGTTATTATTTTTGACTTTTATACGTTTTATTTCTTTTTGATTTAATGAAAATATTCATAGTCATGCATGTCATTAGTAAATCAATATTAATTATTATACAGTGAGTAAATAAATAGTACTGAGTTATACATTGTAACTTGCTGACTTTGTTTTTACTTTACTTCATGTTACATCTACTTCTCTCTTCAATATAAAACTTGTCAGTTATGTATAAAATATATATACACACGAATTAAGAGACTTGTACATGAAATATTTTTATTACTCAAACCCATCGAATTATAAAAATTATAAAATAACTACAAAAATGTATACATACGCATGAAAAAAAAACAAAAAAAAAAACAGTTAAAAGTTTCAATTCAATTATTCTCACATACATTAAACTAAGAAGATATATTATTGATTCATGTAATAACTAATAATTGTTTAGCAGTTTAGATACACAATGAATGCATCATAAAACGTGGGATTTTGTATAATGGAAATCGTTAATGAAAATGATTTTTTATTAATTTTATTGGAAAATAACTTCATACATTTATACGATAATTGATCTTTACAGCTCTGTGTTTAAAACATGTTTAATGTACTAAACTGAATATTTTAAACAAATAACATGATAGAAAAAGTCCAACAAAAATAACAATCTCTATTGAATTTTTTTATGAAAAGTTTTTTAAAAAAAACTTACTCCAAAACTCATAAACTTTCTACAACTCCATTACATACAGAGAATCTATATAAATCTTCCTATAAAATTAAATAAATGGAAAAATTTGATTAATGATTAACTATTGTACAAAATACTCTCACTGATGAACTTGAATTAAAAATCGCTAGGTGTGACTTAAATTTGTACTTTATAATATTAATCAGAGACTAAAGTACGATGCCCTTATTTAGATATTAAAAAACATTACAAAATGTGTTTCTGTATACATAGTGAAATTAGATTGACTAAAACAAGACAGACTATACGTAATATTATAAATCACAATAAAAAAATTCATAAGAAAACAATGATTAAAACATAAATATTTTTTAGTGATTAAGCATGGCTTATTAGTAGCAGAGGGTTTTCGATAAATATACCTGAATACCACATAAAATTTGTAAATTGACCTTAATCTTCAATCTATTTAGAATCAATTAACTATTATACATGTAACCTTGTAAAATGAAGCCAAAGATTATTCTCGAACTTTGACTTGGTAAATTTTCAATAAAGTTTGGAAAATTCTAAATTTTGAAAAAAGCTTGTGTACAAACAATTATATTGAATCAATACAACATAACTATAACAATAAATAATTAGGATATATACATCTATATATATTTAAAACGAAAATTGAAAAAAAAAAAAACATAAAAACAAACTTGTATATTGGTATTGATAGATATAAAAAGCTTTTACAGAGCATGAAATAAAATAATTATATAAACAAAATATATGCTACTGCCTATCCACTAAACATAGACATGACTACATAGATGTAGCTGTGACTTGTTAGATGAAGCAAAACAAAATCCAGTGTTCTTATTAGTATAACCATAGCGGTATGGAATATGTTCGATTTTTGGAAATATTCAAGACTTGTAACTCAGGAAACAAGTTCTCTTATATGATGAACAATTACTCCTGACGTAAATCATGTCACTATGATAATTTTTTGATTGCTAGCTTGTTAATAATTTCATATAAAGCCATTAATCCCACATTTACACCAACGATTGTTTAACAAAATAGTTGGATGTTTGATACATTGTCAATTAGATTCAGACTGATACCAGGGATTATATGTGCATAAAGTTGTATGTTTTTCAATGTCTATAATTATATAGATAGGCGTGTTATTATTGTTCTCATTATCGTTGCCGTCGTCGTTTATGAAGATGTCACAATAAAAGCTTTTAGTACAATTAGTCTACCTGAGAGGCTAAATTTACAGTAATTGATGAAATTATTAACTGTTGACAGATAGAAAAACAGTATGTAAATGTAGGTGCAAATCGTTGTTGAAACGATAGCTTAATCAAGTCTTCCTCGGGTAAGAAACTGTATATTACATTAAAATAAGTTTATTACCAGTATTTTTATTTTTCTCTCAATTTATAATAATTATTGTGTAAAGATGTTCCAATTTAATTCATCATTTGTGCTATGATCATTATTTTTATCATATCTTTTAGCCAAAAGTTTGACGAAAAACAATAATAATTATTACTTGGAAATAATAATAACAATGATAATTTTAAATAATAAATTATTGCTGTTATAATTATTTTTGACCAATAATTAAATAAAACTCTAACAAATGAAAAACAAATCTTTGGACCAATGAATTTTACACTTTACCTATAATTAATATGCGTTCTTCTAAAAATTACTGATATTTGGTCAATATATTATTATCTCTGGACCCGAATGCATTGTAATATTAATAGGCTTTTAATAAAATCACTGTAATAAATAAGATTAGTAATATTAAAAGCAAGTCAGCTGATGTGATTGCATTAATAAGATATTCGCTGGAAGTATGATAATTTATTGAAGGATAATGGAGTGATTTGTACAGAATTAAAGAGACGTCAAATCCATTGGAAATTAATTTTAATTTATTGAGATCGTAAAAATAATATTGTTAGCGAGGCTAAGTAAAAGTTGTACTAGTTAAATAATTCAACAATACAGTCAATATCTTTGGAGCTGTTTTCAAAAAAAATTGTATTATTATACATTATTGATATATACATATAAAATACAATATATAATTATTCATTACCAAGTGTCTCGTGATTTTTTAATTAATATTAGTTTATTTTGTGTGCATAAAAAGTACGAGATAATGAGGTAATATTCTAGGATAATGAATTATGAACATAAAACTATTGATGCAAAAAAGAATTCAGTATATTAGATAGACTGTAATTATATTTATGTAGAATTGTGAATGTACATAACATATATATTTATGCGAAAAAAAAATGATACTCACATGCGTCAACTTGATTAAATAGATAAATATTATTTGAGCGTGAATTCAGTAAAATCTGCCAAATAAAATGCAGTGTATTACAAACAAGTTATTTCTTCGATTATTTATGATGTTGTTTTTTACTTAATGTCCTTAATGAAGAAATATTGTTATAAGCGGCTGTAGTAGGATTCATGAATTACCATGTCACGAGTTATCTCTGCTACTGATCGACAACCTGTTTAGTTTAAAATACATGATTATATTTTACAGTATTTTTTATTTTATGACATCGACGTCTTATTTAAGAGATTATTAAAAAATCATAAGTTATAATATTTTTTACATAACATATTTTCCGATAATCATCTATTTCACCTGAACTGCAATACTTTTTTTAGCTTTAATTTTTTAATTTTGCATTATTCTTTCAACTTTAAATCATAAAATTACTTGCTAAAATAAAAATGTAATTGGTTTCATTTAATAGAAATTTGTAATTTCTTAAATGAATTATTTAATGTATTTCAAATGTTTAAAAATAAAATTAATCAATATAATTGATAATTTTCCAATTATAAAACGATTTACTAAAAAGATTAACACTTATAATAGATCAGAATTGACTAGTTTATCTAAAACTTGATTTATTGTTGACTATTATAAATATGTACAATTAATTGTGTTAATTCTAGATATAAATAGAAATGTAATTTGTACCTGCTAATCCGAGAACAGCGCTAATATCTGACTTCATTAGATTTAAAACGGATTTAACACCTTCAAAACCTCCGTTTGCTAATCCCCATAAAACTGGTCGTCCAAAAAATACCTTAACACATTAATATATCATACTTATGTAATAATTATTCTGTATAAAAAATGATTTTAATCATTATTCTGTTGAAATTATTGCAATATTTTACCATTTTAGCACCCAATGCTAAAGCTTTTAATACGTCAGTTCCTTGTCTGACCCCTCCGTCTAAATAAATCTCTATTTGATCACCCACAGCATTCACTATTTCCGGTAATACTTCAATCTAAAATAATTCATATCATTGGAAACAATACAAATGATTTCTACATGCAGGTAGATTCATTCATACAGTAGCTGGTGTCCCATCAATTTGTCGCGCTCCATGATTTGAAACAATGATGGCTTTGATACCATTATCAACAGCTAATTTTGCATCCTCAACCGTTAATATGCCTTTTAGAATAATAGGCAGCTGCGTCACACTGCAAATTTCACATACGCTAATTAATCATAGATACAAAAATTTCTGAAAAAAGTATAAAATTACTACCAGTGGGACATTTAAGCTGCCATTGAAATACATTTGCCAGAAAACTAATAAAATATTTATTGATTTTATTGAATAAAATTTTACTTATTTTCTTTTTATATAATATAATATCTAATATATAAAATAAATACAGACTTTTATCTAGATCTTTCATTTTTAATTTCTTTTTGAATTAAACAAATAAGCTTAAATTCAGTTAAAATTCAAATTTATTCTAGAATGATCATATAGTCATCCATAAAAAATATTATTTATATTCATTATGCAAAATAGTAATTAAAGTATCTTCAGAGATACCCACGTTAGTAGGTATAGCATTAAAAGTCCAGCAACTGGTATTTTTACCTGTTAGATAAATGTGCTATCTACCCTTTTAACCATTTGACATCATCCCATGTGATTGTGTCATCAAAGAGTTCTTTCACGTATTCATTCAGTCCAGAACCTTCATTAGTGCGGTTTATTTTATCTGATAAAAATCCTTGAAAATTAGCTAATTTTAGATGTTCAGGTAAGACAAACTTGTTTCGAACATCAGCACGTCTTATACCAAAGTAGGGTGTATCAACGGTTAAAACAATTGCTGAAAATCCTGCTTTCTCAGCTCGTTTAATTAAATTCAATGTGATATCACGATCACAATAAATATATAATTGAAACCATTTAATTGCTTTTGGAGCTGCTTGGGCTATTTCTTCAATACTACTTGTTGAGATTGTTGATAAAATGAAAATTGTACCTATTTCTTCTGCCGCTGAAAAATTTTATAAAAAAATTCCATTCAATGAACATGCAATATAAATAATAAAAAAGGTATGAATCATGAAAAAAAAAACCATATGATGATATAAAAGAAAAAAATGTGAGAACATTCCGTGAGGAATTACACACTTGTTGCCTATTTTATGAATATCAATCATAAAATCTAGAAAGTTTTTAAATATTTATTCTCATCAATAAATTATAATTTGTATTATCAGATGGACACAATAAAATATAATAAATTCTATCATAAATACTAGGTTACTGATAGAACAGGTGTTACTGTTGCGATTGAATGAGTTATTCATCATAAAATAAACAACGGTAGAGACATTGTGGAATTTGGAGTAATGTTATTATGATGATAAGTTCATGAACTACAGCATAAACGTGTTGCTCACGCCTACACACTAAAAGCTACCTATGGACGTAGCAGACAGGAGGATCTTCCCATATGGTTAAAAGTGTGTAAATGTCTCATTTAGGTGAAAAGAAACAATAAATTGTGTGGTGTTGTAATAAAACTGTACCTTATAATTTAAATATAAGCCGAGAAGCAATTACTTTGAGCCCAAAGTATTTTTTTATAGGTGTTGTTAAAAAATCTAGTCAATGTAATTTAGTGTTAAAATATAACCGTAAATAAGAGGTTGGAAATAAATTTAAACGTCAAAATAAGAAGTGAATGTTTTTTTTAAATATGTATGTATTGCAAAAAGTGATATTCATGGTATTTTCTTAGAAATCAGACATATCAAATGATAGAATAAAATAATAATGTGTCATAAAAAAGGTAAAATGAATTTTTTCAAATTAATAATAGCATGTTAGTGATTGATTAGATTATATTTTATCAGAATGAAGGAAGAAGATAATAATTTTTGCTTTCAGAAACTATTACGAAATATATAAAATATACAAATTATAACCTGAATTCATACATATATGTAAATACCTATGGTTTTAGTATAGCTAAGAGAGATAGAAAAAGATTGAAACACAAATGAATCAACTTTCATCAATCGTAATCTTTAAATTATATATACAACGTTAGTGATACAGTAACTGTAGCTGTTCAACAATTTAATAACAAACGTCATGAGAATAAAAATAATATAAATAATGAGACGAAATATAATTAGTTTGATTAAATTATTATTTGCTGTAGTACTTACAATACTACTGACAATTGTGATTTTTCGTTACATCAAGGGACCATTAAGTTCAAACACTAGCCATTCATATACACTCAATTATTGGCTCCAAAATACTACTCCAAATAATCATCAGGTATTATTAAAGCTATTTATTTTATTTTAAGATTAATATTAATTGTCTTTGATTTATTATATATTTTTGGTTGTAATTAAAAAGTACGTAGATGTTTAATTAATTCTTTTTTTAGATTAATGAAGAATCAGATGAAAAGATAGACTGGCATGATTATGAAAAAATAAATTATGAAAAAGAAAGAAGTGGAATTGGTGAGCACGGAAAACCAGCGACTATTTCACCAACTGTACCAAAAGAAGATATTGATAAATTATACAGAGTAAATGGCTTTAATGCAGCTTTAAGTGATGAAATATCTTTGAATCGATCTGTACCAGATATAAGACATCCAGAATGTAAGAATAAGAAATATCTAAAGAACTTAGATTCAGTGTCTGTGATAGTATCATTCCATAATGAACATTTATCAACTTTACTGAGAACTTGTTGGAGTGTAATTAATCGATCTCCACCAGAGCTTTTAGAAGAAATTATTCTGGTGGACGATGCAAGTACAAAAGTTGAACTAAGCACTAAACTTGATAATTATGTTAAAAAGTATTTTACAAAAGTGATTATTATACGACTACGTGTGAGATCAGGTTTAATTAGAGGTAGACTGGCTGGAGCTCAAAGAGCCAAAGCTAAAGTATTAGTTTTTCTTGACTCTCATACAGAGGCTAATGTTAATTGGTTACCACCACTTGTAGAACCTATTACAAAAAACTATAAAACTTGTGTATGTCCTTTCATTGATGTTATTGCTCATGATACTTTTGAGTATCGAGCACAAGATGACGGTGCACGAGGTGCATTCGATTGGGAGCTTTACTATAAACGGTTACCACTACTTCCTGAGGATTTAAAAAATCCATCAGAGCCTTTCAAAAGTCCAATAATGGCTGGTGGATTATTTGCAATCAGTGCCAAATTTTTTTGGGAACTTGGAGGATATGATCCTGGATTAGATATATGGGGTGGAGAACAATATGAACTTTCATTCAAAATATGGCAATGTGGTGGACAGATGTATGATGCACCATGTTCTAGAGTAGCTCATATATATAGAAAGTTTGCACCATTTCCAAATCCAGGTCGTGGAGATTTTTTAGGGAAAAACTATAAAAGAGTCGCTGAAGTATGGATGGATGAATATGCAGAATATGTTTATCGACGTCGGCCTCATTTGAGAACATTAGATCCAGGTGATTTAACAGTACAAAAATTATTAAGAAAAAAATTACAATGTAAATCATTCAAATGGTTTATCGAAAACATTGCTTTTGACCTGGTTGAAACGTATCCACCTGTAGAGCCTGATGACTTTGCTTATGGTGAAATTAGAAATATGGGAGTATCTGAATTGTGCCTTGATGCTAAAAAAAGGTCAAAGAATCAATTAGTTGTTGTAGACTTGTGTATCAAAGACAATGATAAACTCCACGGAGAACAAGAATTCCGTTTAACCTGGCGTAAGGATTTACGACTGAAAACCCGAACAGACTGTCTAGATGTATCAAGTGGTTTGCCTAAAGCAAATGTGACTATTTATCCTTGTCATGGTCAGCAAGGAAATCAACTGTGGCGTTATGATATCGAAAAGCAGTGGTTAATGCATGGACACATGGAGCGATGTCTTGATACTGATCCTGCTACCAAAAAAGTATATGTCACAAAATGTGATCCTTCATCGTCTACTCAGAAATGGAGAATTGAGGAGGTCAACATGAAAGCAATCAATGACCAGACGAAAAATTTGTAATTAAAAAATTATCAACTTTTCTACTAAATCAACTTTTTATTACTGAACTTTAATTGTTTTAGACTTCATTTCATCAAGTGTCTTCATGTTATTTTATAATTAGAGAATTCAATTAAAATCATATCGACTAGTCATCGATGATATAATTCATGTTTTTTCAATTGTTCATATACTGTCATATCAAAATGTAAATATTGTGATTTATATATACATTTTCAAATGTTATTGTGCCTTATATTCTTGAATTGAACAAATTCTTCAAATAATAATTGTTTCCTTTTTTTATTATTGAAATTACTCAAGGAAGACCTTCATACAAATAAACAACATTTCTCCTATATTTATGAAACTAGCAGATTAAATGAGGAATCATTTTTTAGGTATGGAAACCAGTATAAGTTATTATCAATTATTGAATTACCTCTTGCACTAGCGCATTCTCCATCAGGATGTGCCATGCGTTGCATAGCTGTCGGAGAAATCCCAAGTGGCATTGATACCTGATGTCCAAGTACTTTGGTAGTTATATCTCTCATTGAAACATTTCGTAAAACTCGTGGTCGGATTCTATATCTGAATTTATAAGTGACATTTCTTTTTTAACATCAAGCCTTCAACTCTTCATATATGAATCAATCTATTTTTCTCAATATATATACCTTGCAAATGCTTCTCTATTCCATTTCAAAGTATTCTGATCTCCAGCACCACTTTGATAATAATCCTTAGCAATAGGTGGTAGTGTCTTTACAGCTAATTTTTCATAATCGTCAACACAAACTAGTTGTTGCATGTTTATGATTACTCTTAATTATATTGATGTTATTGAAGATAAATATTATTTAACTATTTTACTTGTATGCTCTGTTTAAAATTATACAAATGATTCAACAATATGAAACATCAAATTGAAACTAAATATCATTTAGAAATGTTGAGTAGATATAGATTATTTTCTCAACTGTCAATATGTTTCGATTGATGTAAGCATACACATATTAATCACCAAGTTTTTCTATAAAATTACTGAGTGATTGCTTTATACCGATAACCCGTCAGATAAAATATAAAATAATTACGATAACGAGGATTAATTCTTTATTATTGTCATTTTTTTTTTTGAATAGAACTTAGTTGTAGCAGATTTAAAATGATTCAACATTTTATTACATTCGTTAGAAATAATACACGTACTTATACATTTATATTGTATACATATATAATATAATTATATTGTTTTACTCCGATTGTAAATCGATAGAATGACTCTCATTTATTTTAAATTAATAACCAAGTTGATAACAGAGCCTGCAATTATCAAGTGGTAAAATATAATGCATTGATCATCGATGTTAAAAATTTGAAAAAATTTTCATCGATATTATGTTGAAAATGGTTAATTCAACGACATTATTGCAGGTGAGATACTGCCGACTGCATCGGCACTTGAAGAAAAAAAAATGCTTATGATAAATGCTCTCTAAATAAATATTGAATTGTTTAAATTACAACATGCAATCTTTAATGATGTTGAATATATTCGTGTAACTTATTTCATGTACATATATCATAAATATTCATCATTTTAATCCCGGATTTTTCGATTTATTCATTTCTCTTTTTTGTTCTCTTTCTCAACGATCTTCTTGCCACTAATTGGTCAATTATAAATTATCGTTGCGTAATTCAAATTGATTATCAAATGCATACGCTAAATTTTGTATTGTGACTATTTAAATAGGCATATGATTTAGATTAAGTATACAAATGGAGTAAATTCACAATTTTTTTTTCGTATTTCAAAATAAAAGTAATAATTTTTTGTTGGAAAATAATCAAAGTAAATGTTAATTAGCACCGTTAAAAATAATTCAGTAATAAAGACACTAGTCTTTTAAATCCATGAAAACATATCTCTTATTTGATATCATTGTTACATTAATAAATCCCAATATGATCATCAATCTTCACTTGGCATAAAATCTTTTTGAAGAAGCATGTTTTCTTTACATACATAATGTTTGAATGATTATAAAAAACGTAATTACTATTATTAATAACATAAACAATATTTTTGATATTGTTTATGTTATTATAAGTGATTTATATATACAAGTATGTGAATTTATTTCTTACATTTTAGTCATTCTATAGTGTTATTAAATTTCATTCAAAATAATTCGATATCATTGAAATTATGCTTTCAATTAAGCACAACAATTTGAGTGCTACACACAAAAGTAATTAATCGTTTCCCTAAGTCTATAGACTTTTCGAGTCTATATACTAATACGAGTATATATACTAATTATTACATTTACCATAACGTAAAATAATTGTTTAACAAATAATTTCATACCATTGGACTTAATCTAGAAAAAAGTATAGACGTTGAAAATTTTTTTTGTATTAAGCAGAGCATACAGCACTTTGATATTATCTTTCAAGCGTGTTAGTATGAAGAGTTCAACTTAATCATTTTATTTTTTTACTTTGGTAAGAATTATTTAATTTATTTATTCTTCTATTATTTATATCTGTTTCCATTATTTATCGCTTTTATTTATGAAATTTGCGATAGTACACATGCAGAAATTGATTATAGAAATTTATAAAATTTCTTTAGAAATAATGTTAATATTAACATACTGAAAGATCAGTTCTCATCATTCGTTTGACAAAGCACAAGTTTTTTATTCGAGCGAATTGGAAAACATTTTGTCAATTTTGAAACTGTTCAAAAATAAACAAAATACATTTCTTTTATAAACAATCACTTACAACTTGCAAGTATAGTTTTTTTTTTTTTTTTAATTTTACAAATGTTTGGCGCGCTTATGATTGACTAGAATCCTAGCTGATTTCTTACATTTGTGAACAGTTTAAATATTTATCTAGGTAATAACTAAAACAAAATTAATTAAACAATAAACGAAACTAATAGTTTTTTTTCTCTATCATGATGTTTTCCATTATGAATTTCAATAAAACTATATGACATCTACGAAATTCAGTTGTAATTATGATGATTGAATATATATATAAATATATGTATATATCTTACAAATAGGATTGAGCAGCGAGGGATGGATATATCGCATTTAACTTAGCTAAAAAATTTTCATTTGAAAGTAGTGAGAAGTTAAATGGAGTTATGTGCATAATTGTCATTTGACATACTATTTTGGATGATTTAAATGTTGTGATGTGTGTATGTAAAATGATAAAATTATATAACTACGCTGCGTGATAATGGCCATGTGTTCTATTATATTTTTTTTTTACAAATGAAATTAGTAATTATTATTTGATAATAAACATTTCAAGATATTGCATTTAGCACTATTACAATTAAGTATTAAATAATTATCGAATAGACGGTTAAACTAGCAGAGAAGAAAATTACATAGTACATGAGAGAAATTAGAATTTACAATAACGCAGCGCTATTAATAATGATTTACTTATTTTTATCACATATAAAAAGCAATTATATGTACATATACATCTGAACAATACTAGGTAATGTTTTGACCGATTTTTGCGTAAAGGACTATTACTCAATATTAATTTTGATATCTATATATATATTCGTAATTAAAATGAAAACCGTTTTATTTGTCTGGTTTTCTTTACTGACGTTTTGAGACAATTGTTGATATTTTCATTCATTATTCATTTTGTCCAATTTTATACAAATGCGACCTTTCTTACAATATTTCTTATATTAGCCAGTGAAAAAATTTAAATTTTTTCACTTTATTATAACATTATCAAGGCATGTGTTGTTAGTAATCTCCAGAGCTACGATCAATTCGTTATTCATGGAATTTATCGAGTTACGATAATTAAAATAGATTATGATAAAAAAAATCACAGCTCCAAATATAATGGCTATAAAGCAACAAAGTTCTAGATTTACGTCACTCCATTATTATATCATCGTTATTGATCCACTTCCACTTACACGAAATCTTTCATAAAATATATAATTATTTATAACATGTTTCATGTTTCTTTTTGACTTCTATATCGCACCTGTTGTAATTAAATACCGTATGTAATTGTCCAGATCTATCTATATGTCTACTGTCGAAAAAAGATAACGAATAATTACATTTACAATAAAATAATTATAATAATGATGATCAAAATAATATTAGTAATAATAATAGACAGTAATAATATAATAGAAGGAGTAGTAACAGTTATTATGGTAATAATAAATTTAATAATTATTTTACTTTTTATAATAATAATGAAGAGTAAAACACCACACACGTATATTACACAAATTGATACAGAATACCGTTGATTTTCTCCATTTTTGACATAATTCGATGCGATACATATGAACCAAGGAGTGAATACAGGACGTTTATAAAAAGTGTTATTGATGCAGATGCTAAAGGAAAGGCACAACTTTCAGTATATTTACTGTCATTAAAAAATAAATACGATTAAAAGCTGAATCTTTGAGAGCCGAAATGAATTACGTTCTAGGTAAATTGTGATAATATTATTGTAACTGAAGACGTTTGAGATTAAGTACAGTATTTTTACTTTTATATTTTTATTAGTAATTCTTTTTTTTTTTTATCAAATTAGCAACATTTCATAAAGAGATGAAAAAGTAAAGATAAATTTTCGTTTAGTGAAATTGGACTTCACACAATTATTTAGAGTATATTTCATATCCTGACTTTGACTCATTACTTTGTCATTATTTCTTTTTTTTTCTTTTTTTAATCATTTATTATTAATAACGTTATGTTCAAATTTACATAATTAGTTTAGTAAAATTGCCTTCACTCATATTAGCTCTACTCTTGAGAAAAACTGAATCTCATAATAATAATAATCACTATTCGTTATATATCTGTACAACTTTATCGTTTTTTTTATCCAGTCGCTAGTTACAGTTTTATAATTTCTAGATCATTAAAAAAAACTTTTTTTGTTACATTAACTACTCTGGATGACCGGCGACACGATGCAGTTGACTTAATATAACGTTGAAAAGATGCGAGGTTCAGTCATAAAAAAATCAACTTTCGCTGTTATTATTATTATTTATACAATTATATCGATTTTTAATCGATATCAATCGGCATTTACGAAAAATTCATAATTCTAAAAGTATTGAGACATGTAAAACGTTATTGTAACTCAGTCAAATCACTCAAGTTCACTGTTCATTATTGATCTTGAGTATCATTTTGGGAAAATACCTGATGGCTATTTTGAGGTATATCAAAGCAAAATGAAGTAGTTTGCTCCTCTATCTCATCTGGTAATTGTTGTTTCTGTTGTTGTTGTTCTTGTTGTTGTTGTTCTTCTTGTTGTTTTTGTTGCAGCAGCTTTTCATACAGATGTAAATGCGGCGTAAGATATGACTCCTGCGCTTGAGTTAAGGTAACATCAGGTTGTTGTGTAGCAAATCTATAATAAAGATTAAAAATTAAATTAAAATTTAGAATCTTCCTTTGATCAAAAAAATTACACAATAGGGTTACTTTATTTAAATTAATTATTATTAATTTAATATTATATTAAAATTAATTCAATATTAAAAGGAAAGTTATTTAAATCATTTTTTTTCCATTTTCTTTGACAAATATTTCAAAAGAAATGAAATTATCTAGTTGGAACAATTATTATGGTTTAAACCATTCTACATTACCTCTCAGAATATGTAATATAGTATTTGTATTTATAATCAAGTCATACATACCGATCAGATGAGGTCGATTGCAAGTATCCTCTACGTTTGTTGTAATAATTAATCATAAGTTTTCTCACATCTTCTTCGGAAGCATGTTCAAGAGCTCTTAACTCTAAGCCTTTAATAGACGCATTAACAAATACTGGCTGCTGATCTGATTGATGTTGTTGTGACTGTTGTTGCTGTTGCTGTTGTTGTTGTTGCTGATGTTGCTGTTGTTGTTGTTGTTGCTGCTGCTGTTGTAATTGTTCTTCTTCATGTGCTTGTTGTGTTATCGTAACATCAGGTTGTTGTATAACATACCTGAAAAATCAATAAGTATTAATAGTTTATGAAAAAATAAATTGTTTAAAAATGTACTTATTTATATATGAATAAAAATACCGTTCAGATGAACTCCATTGGGAATTAGTTCCACGTTTTATATAATCTTTGATGAGTTCTTCTACTTCAGGTTCACTTTCGGGACAAAGCTCAAAAGCACGTTCTAAAGTTTTCTTCGCGCTGTTGCTACGTTCTAAATAATATCCATTGGTAGAATCATTTGATTGTGTTGGTGGTGACCAGTTATTGTATGCATGACTATATGATGGAGCTGATGTATAAGGCTTTTTCTCAAGTTCATCTTGTAACCAGTCAACAGCATGATTCCATTTTCGTTTTAACTCAGGATTTTGATAGAGTAGTTGATGAGCTTGTCGACACTTACTAAATAACTGTACCATACATTTAATACATTGATAGGCACGTTTTTGATAATGATTTTTACTCCTAAGTATTGTTTCAAAAAGTCCTTCTCTTTCATCTGGTACACCTTTTAACGCATTATGAATACGATGAGTTTGCCATGAATCTTCCATAAGAAGCATTGCTAATAAAAGATCCATATGACGTCGAAGTTCATGTGTAAATGCAAATCCTATTTGCCAGAGTAATTCACTGAGAACCGAACGAGATAGATGTGGATTCTCCCAGCAACAGTATTGTAACAGTTTGACGGTATCTTCAGTAACATTAGCATCTTCAATTAATTTTTTGATGTAATTTGTTTTTATGAATAATATTTCAACAGCTTGAGGTTGAATAGGCATCAAATATTCATTTTGACATGCTGGATCACCATACGGATTGGGTAGAACAGGCATTCCAGAAGCAGCATGACTTGATTGACACCTTGATGACACATCACAACAACGTATCAGCATACTTACTACTTGATGAAGTTTCGTTAATTCAGGATACTGATATTTTATTGTAGGCCCTGGACCCTCATCAATTGCTACTAACATAAACGTAACTGGTACATTTAGTTTTAACAATTGAGTCTTTTCTTCAATACCAAGATTTGCGTATGAGTGAAATAATGAAAAATAGTGAGGCAAATGCCGACCATGATCAGATATTTCACGATGTAATAACGAAAGAACAGCAAGCAGAAGATGATCACTCAATGTAGCTGCTGGATCAAGTAGAATTACTCGTGCATTCAAACTGGGTGGAAGACAAGGACCATCGTGTAATGAATAGTGTGCGAGGAAAACCAAAATTTTCATAAAGGCTGTTCGTACTTCAGTGCTTTGACAACTCAGTAAGTACTCGCAAAACCTTTGCGGATGATTAAATAATACATTGTAGGCAAACCACGATCGAACTTCCTTACTACTGCGCAAATGATGGCACAAAATATCACACCAGTCAGTTGCTGTTCCTCGTAATGATTTTTTGGTATGAAATCCAGTATTAAATAGAAATCGTGACGCTAATTGTACTGATAACATTGATAATTCTTCTGCCTCAGGTGTTAATTTTTCATTTGAACTTTGTCGATTTATACAATGAGGAGAATTACATGACACCAGTTTTCTAATGAATTGAAAGTATTCTGCACTAAATTGATTTCGATTATGCATAAACTTAATATTTTGTTTCCTAACACTATGTTCTATCGCCGGTGGCATTTTTATTACTCCCAATTTCGTATCTGAAAAAATCACAAAATGGTTTGTTAAAATTGCAAGGCAAATTATTAAATATTTAGTTACAAAACTTTTGAAACTTACAAAGAGATAATTCATTAACGCTTTTCATTAAAGAATTTTCTTCAACATCTAATCTTGTGTAAAAAAGCATATATGCATTCCACCATCTCTTTTGTCGGCGGAAGTTCATCCTTTTCAACATTTGATCAAATACTTCCCCAACATAATCACCTCCGAAACACTGCGTTTTCATTTCCTCTTCTTCTTCCATTTTACATTCAATGACATCGCCATCATCAAACTTGTACCATTTGGCGGATCCATCATTTTGTCTAAATAAAAAAAACATTTAAAAAAATACTTTCAATACTAATTTCTAACTTATTTACTTGTAATAAAAGAAAAACCATTAAAAGTTTTATTATGATTGAATATAAGAAAAAATGCTAAAAGAATCAACAGCCAAAAGATTCAAAATTATTTAGGTAATTTAAATAGAACCTTTTATAGTGTAATAATGGAATAAAACCTTAATTTTAAATATTAAATACTTTGAAGATTGAACATTAGTTAAAGGAAAATTTTATGCAGATATAATTATCGTAATTACATTTGAAATTTTAATTACACGGACCAGTATATTTTATGATATTAAATAGTCTCTTATTAAATTTCCAAATGAAAATGAGTATTATCTAAAGCATAAACTATTTCATAATTAATGGATAATTATAGTGATTGCATAGTAAAAACAATTGATTTAATTCAAGGTATTTATAAATATAAACTTTATATAATAATTGCAATAATTGTCTTGGTTATTACTGATAAGGTTAAAAGTGTTATATATTAAACTCACCTGTGTAAAATGTAAGAATAATAATGACCTCCACTAGCTTGACCACTGTGAACCACGATACCAGTTAATTGATATTTTGTACAAGTTTCTTTGTTTATTCCCTCATAATCACAGTCTATAATCTCTCCTTCTAGTTTAGCAAGTCCGGAAACGGTATATGGTTCCATGTCTAAATCCCGTGGGAATTCAAAATAATCATTGAACTTTATAGCACAAACACGCTCAAAATCGTATTCGAATCGTTTTAATTGAATTGCTAAGACAGGCGGAAGTTTTTTTACACATAAACGTTTTACCGTGACAACCTATAAAAAAATTATAAATTTATATAATAATCATTGTCATCATCATAATAATAAAGTTATAAAAGAAATAATAAATACATACTTTTTTATTACACTTATCGCAATGGTAAGCATCTGCTCCTTCTAAAAGTTCTCCTTTAACATACTGCTCCAAGGAATCCAATAAATTACTGTGATTTCGGATATCTACACTAATAACACTAAAGGACTCCTCTTTAGAATATCTATGGGGACAGCCTTTACAAATTTTCTGATCGCTATAAGAGCCACCTAAAATTTTACTCATTATTTGTTCATGACCAAGAGCTTTTAAAGCTTCATCTAAACTCTCAACTAAACTCATAAAAAATTCAACAGCATCTTGTTGTTCACGTAGATTAACTGGTTCACCTTGTAGTTTAAAATGCTTCCAAAGCCCTCGCGGTATATAGTACTGTAATTTACTATAAGCTAAGTGTCCAAATATAGCCTGAACTTGTTTCAATATTCCAACATTATATTCCTTTCTTGATTCATCAACACCACATTTTTCTTCATTAGTATCATTATCACTTGCTTCAATAGTATTTTCACCATCAACACGCTCTTCACCTGAAAAATCTTCATTCAAGTCAGTGGCAGCCCCTTCAGCTGCTAAAAGTCCCACTCGTATACTTTCAATCATATATAATTGTTGTAAAACAGAGTTCATGTAACAAGTAGCTCCGGCATTCTTTAAACCAACAAAACCCTTGAGGGGTCGTGGTCCCACGGGTGGTAAGTAATCCCATTCAACAAGTGGTTCATCTCGTTCAGAATAAAACATATCTATAAGCATTGTGACTAGAAGTTTCATATTTTGTACACAACCAACGCATAAACCAACCAGAAGGTCAAATGCTGCACTCGTCGATTGTGGTGTTGTACATACTGGACATGCTTGAGATGTTGAACTTAATTCACCGGTATTTCGTAATTGTAACATCAGCCGTGACGCTGGAAATATAAAGTCTTCAACTAATTCTTTGATTAATGTTCCACCGCGTTTTTCATCAGAACCTAGTTCATATTTTTTTGACGGTGGAAGAAAAGCTAAAAGTTCCTTGGTTAAGCTTAAATGACCCTCTAGCAATGCATCATCAATTTGATTATCTCCTGACTGAATAACAACATCTCTAACCTTTTTTAGCCACGCTATTTCAATACTTAATAGTCCTTCTGCTGATGGTAATGAAAAATTTGAGATATGTGCAAAATTAAGTAGCCTACATAATAATTGAAAATATTCATGGCTTTGACGAGCATTTTCCGTAACTGTAGTGTTGAGAACACTGAGTAGAATCATAAGATTCAATTGAAATGCTTGATTATTGCTGCAGTATGTAGAAATAAGTAGAAACTGTTCAGCAGCGGCAATTCTGACGGCTCTTGATGTACTTACTAGAACAAGGTCTATCAAAAAGGTGTGCCACATTTTGTCTCGTGTTAAACTAATTAAAGCTGATGGATTAAGAATCAGTGCTATTGTCAATACTTCAAGGGCTTCTTTACAAACTAAAACATCATTTGGTTCAGGAATACATGATTCCCTTTGATTCGATTCATGTATCGAATGAAGGATTTCAATAGAGGCATTAGCATCATTCAAACTACCACTTGAGGCTGCCCACGCGAGTTTAATTATGGCACGAATAGTCATCATGTCCGGTAACTCCCAAGACATAGCTTGCATAAACAATTGTCGAGATCTATCGGATTCCGTTTCATTTGATAATATTTTATTGGCCAAGTGGTGTGCTAATTTCGTAGCTACACTTCTTAACATATATTCGGTACTTTGATTTGGTACACTATTTAATGCTTGCTTAAGAACAGCAATCATACCACGATTATTATGAAAATTTTGATGGTGACCTTCGTGATTTTCATTTTGATGTTGCTGCATGTCATCCAAAACACAAGCCATGACATTTCCAATAACTGTGAGTAATAATTTACACAGTTTTAAAACAGTTAAATAAGCAGATCGTTTGGTTGTTACATCGGCATTAGGTAAAAATTTATTCTTTGTCAGCATATCTAATATAACACCTGCCTCTGGGCTTTTTATAAAATTATATTGAAATTCAAAGGCCTTATCAGATGTAGGATCTAATGCCGGCATGAGTAACGTATACAATACTTCCAAATTATACAAAACTTGGCTAGGACTTGCATTAAAGAAGAGAGTATCAACATTGGTATTTTGTGGATTACAATTAGAATTTAAACACGACACATCATTATCCTCATTGTAATGTCCTGCGAATAAATAATGTAATCGTGCTACTGTTAATACATCAGGGGGTACTAATTGTAGAAGATTACGAGCTGAATCACGTAGTTGTGAATGCTTAAGAGAACAACCAAGATCAGCCAATTGAAAAAAAAATGTTGCATGATGTGATTGTTGTGACATTACTACACCAGGGAGACTGTTTTCAGCTTCTAAATTTGGTCCATCATATGGATGATGAGGTGAACTAGTTGAACTATCAGAACTGCTGTCTGGTGAACTTGGTATATTACTTAATATTTGGCTCAACTTTGCTGATAATAACGTTTTATCTCTCAATGGAAGTTGTGATAAAAGTTTTCTATCATCAGCTTGATCTAATGATTCACCATTAGTATACAAATCTAATTTAACATTTGTATCATTCGCTTTTATTCTACGTAAGATTTGACGTCTCAATGAAGCTAAAGTATCATTACTGTGTGTAGATATATCAATATCATCAATATTTCTACCAGGACTTACAAAACGTATAATAAGTGACATGTGTTTACCACGTGCAGCTCGATGTAATGGCAATATTTTACGTTCTACAGGAAACGCTGTATCACACTCATTGATATATTCTTGTAACACTTTCATTACACGACACATTTTTAATGCTTCCATCATGACTTTATTGCTTTCTTTATCGCTATCCTTTGTTTTATTATCTTCATTAGAAACTCCTGTAAGTATTGTAACAGTATCGTAATGAGCTTTGAGTCGATCCATACATTCAGCTATAAAAGTTTCATGAAATTCTAGTATCGCCACTTGTAACCGTGGACCTAAATTTGTATTAACTTCTTTGAGAAGTTCGATACCACGACTAGCTATTTCTTCAGGACTATTTGTCACAACTCGCCACAAATAATCACTGCCGATTAGATCGACATCATCCATCAAGTACGTACGACGTTTTGTTTTAAGTTTACCTTCTTTTGAATTGACTGCTTTGAAAAATCTCTCATAACATTTAATGCCACTTTCAGTTAACAATGTTGGGTCTAATTGCAAAATGTTATTTTCAAAAAAGTCTTTATTTATAGCTGGATCAAGATCTGGCTCTTCACCCATTAATTTTGAAAACCACTTGAAGCATGCTTCTCTGTCAGAAACAAAAACAGCCTGTTCAGCAAGACACTGCCAAATTTGTTTTGCTTGTTCAGCGCAAAGCCATAATTGTCCATCTTTCAATAAAAAACGTAAAAAATTAAGTCTCTCTTGAACTTGCATAATATGGTTGTAACGACCATCCGGAGTTAATGTCATTGCGTCAACATTTGGATTGTCTTCAACGTATTTACGTACTTTATCCATATAATTAGTCAAACTATTTGTCACTAATATAACAACACTATGCTGATTCTGTAAACGATCAATAACTTCTTGTCTGTAATAAGCATGTTGTGTACGTTGATTATTACCCATATTTGGATTTGGTTCATATAAACTACAAATTTCCCGAATTTGTTTTAACGCCGGTAGTGCCCACTTATCATCACTTTTTAATTCTTCAACGCACTTATCAAGCCAAACTGTTTTTTGTGCATCACGATCTTGAGAACACGAATAATCTAATATTTTTACATGAGCACTCAATGCCTGATCCATTATTTCAGTTGGTACTTCGTCTGAATGTGCTAAATTCCAAAAAAGTGTTAACACTTTATGGGCCATCACACCATCTTTGTCATCTTCTGCCAATCTTCGTATTAATTCTAGTAATTTTTCTCGTTGTTTTTTATTAGCTGTTTTCCAGCTCGCTTGAAAACATTCAAAAAGATGATCTAATTGTTCTGGACTAAAATCCCAAGCTAATTTTGCAAGTAAATCATGAACATTTTTTACAATAGCTTCGTGTTTACCAGCTTGAGCAGCCCAAACAGCATCCAAATCTTCAAGTGTCAATGATCTCTCTTTGATAATAAAACGTAATATTTTTTCCAACTTTTCCACATATTGAGGCTGATGAAGTGAATCACGAAGAACTATTTCTAATACTCCATTATCCTTAATCCACTTTGCCATTCGTCCTGCCGTTAACCACTCATCGTCCTCGTTTGGATTACGTAGAGGATAATAACTAACAGCAGTAATTACCTTATTAACTTCATTAAGAGCATTCATTTTTCCGTTAAATGAAGATATTTGCAAGAGTCGTAAAATCATTTTCAGTCTCAATATCTCTAAATTTTTTATCATCTCTTCTTGATGTGGTACACGTGAAACTAAATTTTTCATAGATTTTATAATTGCAGATATTGCATCATTTTTTGATTCATTTTTAGCTTCTTTTTTCAACTCTTCATCTGTTAAATTATCCAAAATTTCAGGCACCATTTCCTGTAAACATAATCATAAGTCATAATTAGATAACAATCAAGATAACTATGTCAATATTGTAAATTCTTTTTTATGATTTTCTACTTACAATAATGGGCATAAGATATTTAACTACGGTATGAACAGTCAAAAGTTCATAGCATAACCCAAATGGTCGAAGTAATGCATAAATAATAGGAATTGTGAGATTACGTCCACTTTTAAATCTTGCTAATAAAATATCAAAACCACCAAAATTTCCAAATCTATTGAAAAAGCATATCATTTCGACATTAAATATCAAACCAACAATCACAAAATTTATATTTTAAGAAATTAAATTTTACTTACTTATTAATAAGGTCGACTAACCAACCACGTGGATTTCTAGGATCCGGTGGTGGTCTAGCATAAAGCTCTTCTTCTGAAATATTGCTCCCAGGTGGTACGGTTTCAGATACTTTCGCAGCATTAAATGTATGAAATTTATTAGTTGGATTAAAGACCATTGCTAACAAATCTAAAAGAGGAAACCAATCTTCGTCCAATTTTTGGACACAAAGCTCGACCAATCTTTCACAATTAGCATTGATGCAATTGTGAATATGCGGTTTCCAACTGTTAACAGCATCGTCAGTGAGAATTTTGGTAAAAGAAATAGTGAGACCTTCTCGAAAAAAGCGTTGACATGCTTCACTTTGAACGTCAATTCCTATAATATGAAGAACCAAATAAGCACTATCAATTGAACAATTTAATTGAGTTGAAAATTTGTAATATATCTATTGGATTAATGATTAAGTATATTACTGTGACAATTAAAATGTACCTTTTTTACAAAGATCTATACTAGCTTCTAATAAACATTCTAATTCTTGTTCTGGTAATACTGGTACAACCCAACGTGAGTTAGTGATTTTTTCATCCAACATTGCTAATTTAACATGTGGAAACTCAGGTTCCGCTTTTGGTTGATTTTGTTCCTCAGTGAATGTCCCATAAGAAAAGGGAGTCTCCTGATTGACACCTTCTTTTTGAGGCGGATTGTCAGACAATCCAAGCTCAGCGATAACATTCTGCAGAAGCTCCGTATCCTGAAAAGAAACAAAATATTCTTACAGTGTCGAGAAACATAATACAGACAAAGTTATCACAAGAATGGTGTAATTTCGCTAAATTTTAGAAACAGCTGATATCAAGTGTCATCATAACCAATACCGCGATTTCGGCTCGTCTATGTCGTCGTCTTTTACGCCCTTCATTTCGATATTCTCGTGATCCTTGTAATTCAGAATCCTCTTGACCAATTTGAGTTACCTGTGGTCCTTGTGTAACTTGTGTCGTCTGTTGACTCTCAGGGGGATCCACGCCAACTCCTTGTCCTCTGGTAGCAATTGTCATTTTTCTTCCTTTTTAATTCTTTCCAGTAAATAGTTTAATTTGTAGTCGGACAATGATACACCATATAAAGCAACCATCCAACTTATACACTGGCATTAAGTATAATTAATTATGTATATATCCTAAAGGCCTCGTTTCAATAATCTATCTCTACATTATCTGTAACAGAGAAACACAAAGAAAACGATGCTTTAAACTTTATTTTTTATCCACTTCGTTTTTCTTAGTAAATTTAATATTAATATCTATTTTTATAATTGTAATAAGAATAACCTTGAAATTATTTTCAAACACTTTGAAAGACGTAAATTTAAGGAAATCAAGAAAATTTGAGATTCCAACCAATATCTCCAGACTGATAGAAAGGGGTATATATATTGGCATGTGGATGTAAACTTTAATTGTTGAATAAAGTTTTGATTAAACAGATTTTTCACTTAATGTTAATCATTAAAGCTAACGTCAACTGCTGCCAATATAAAAAAATGAGAATTCGATTACTTTAACCACTAAATTAGATTAAATGACTAACTTCCCTTTTGGATGTAATTATCAAAATTTATGTTCAATTTGATCGATAAATCAATTTGTTTTGTTATAAATAAATAAGTTAATATAAATTTACAATTATCAAGATTGCAATTCTCAATGGCAGCTAGAAAATGACAAATGAAACAGAGAAGTCTATTCTTGCAATCTCCATTGAATGAACGTACATATAACAAATGTTAGATGTATTTAGAAAATTAATTTTTCCAAAATTGAAAATTTTATGAACAAATAAAATATTTATGGGTATATTTTTTGAAGAAAAACGACAACATAGTGTTATGAAATGTTCAAAAGTCACACGCATACACACAAATTACGTTCACATGTATACATGCATGAATCTAAATACGTACATTTTGCAGATTATTATGAAAGTTTAATAGAGTTAAAAAATATTAAATAACATCGGCCACTGATCGTACCCATGCGTTGTCAACGATCTTTGGGCGATGGTTCACTTATTTTTTTTTATCTCGTTTATTCAACCGGGTCTCTTTAGACAAAATGGCGACCTTCGTACGATTAACACTGCCAATACCAAAAAAGTTAATTATAATTTAAATTCGTTGTAAATAATCAGTAGTCTGTAAAATTCACTGCGCCATTCAATATATTTTAAATAATGAAAAAATGAAATATAAAAAAGATTCATAAACACACAAACACACACCTTTACATAATAAATTACAGTAGAATTCGCGTTTTAGTGTTTGACGTGACGTTAAGAGAACTCTCTGCAATCTTATAAACATAACTGCGGCGCTCTGGTCGTGCAGCACTGACCCTTCGCACGTCGTCTACTGTCTTCTACTTTTGTAAAGCAATGAATAGCAAAATTATTTACTTTTTCCCTTTCTATTGTACATATTTTGTTTATGCCACTTGTTTGTCACTATTTGTATAACATATATATTTACGTGTCATCAATATACATAGAATTATAAATGATCATTACTTTTAAACAATGTTTATTTGTTGAAATACATATAATTAATACACTACTTTTTTCTTACAAAATTTTTCATTTTTAATTTTTACATTTACAAACTTCAATTGTTTATAATATAATGTATGGATTATTTAACTTTTTAATTTTTAAATAAGAAAAAAATTCCAGTCTCCTCAGCAATTATTATATTATTCAATATACAAAATCAGCATTGTTTCGAAAAATTATGCCATGCAAATAATATTTTTTAAATAAGTTTTATTTATTAAAAAAAAAAAACATTTTATTCCAATTTAAATAACAATAAAAAATCATGAAGTTAAAGCTTCCAACTCTTTTAAGAGTTCACCTTCTGTTTTAATTTTATCCAATTGGTTTATTTCTAATTTTTTACCAGCTGACAAGCTTTCCTTTAATTTGGAGATTTTTTTTAATGTCTGTCAAGAAAACAATAATTTAGAAACGATTAAAATGGACTAAATTAATAAATAAAATAAACTTTACTTCCTTACACTTTGAATTCTTCGTATCCTTTTAATTTTTTCATGTTCTTCAGTTGATAAAGATGCATCATTTGTACCTTTATTTACAACAGTATTATTCTGTTTACTTTTATCCACTGGTTTAGGTGGTACCGTTTCACCTTCTGCTTGTCTTTTATTTTTCTTAGCTTCTCGTTTCTTTTTCCACTTTGATGCATTTTTAGACGGTTCAGGTTTCTTAGTTGTATCATCGTCATCATGCAGTGAAAAATTAATAACCCGTCCTCTTTGAGATGGTGGTCGATAAACTTCTTTCGATGCTTGAGGTTTATCACAAACTATACCCTCTACAGCTTTATAACTAATCGGTTTCTCTGGAAAAGTATTTTCAGGAAATCTTTGCCATAAAACTTCATATAATGCATCTGGTTCATTCCAGTCTTTTTTATGTAATAACGTGCCAGTATAATGCCAAATTTTATAGTTATTTGCTGTTCTAAGTCTTGGCGCCGTAGTTGCTGTCACAAAATGCTCTCCATTTGGAGACCATTCGAGTAAAGTAGTATCAGGAGCGTCAGTTTGTGCGATCAATTTCTTCTTTTCTACATCCCAAATTTCCATAGTACCTCTAAGATTACCAAACCCAGCCAAAAGAAGAATATTTCCATGAGGATTATAATAAATACTGTTTCGATATCCTTTACCGAATTCATGAATAGGTTCACATTTAGTATTGAAAATTTTTGCATTAGTAGGCATGGATCCAAAAATAACACAAAATTCATTGCCCTTAGGCGACCACTCAACAGAATGAATAGTTCCATGTTCTTGCAAAATAATATTCACAGCCTCACCCTTTACATTGAGATAATGTAGAGCTTGTTTTCCATAATAAGAGGCTCCTGTTACATCCACATCACTACTTGTTATTACTAGCACACTCGTTCCGTTTGTATTCCATAAGAATTGTACGCTATCTGATTGGAAGAAACTCTTTCTAGCTAATGATTGAGTAGTATCAAAGTTAGGGTATTGCACTATTTGAGCTATGGAAGGTTGACCTTGTTTCCCAGGAAGATAACAAGCAATAACGTAAGGCTCTTTCTTTGGACTTATTTTGAATTTTGCGCCATTACCTAATGTCATTTTACAAGTAGATTTTTCAAAGTTTGCATTTTCATAAAAATAGACATTATTATTTATTAACATTCCGCATATCTTTTCATCTTTAGACCACTGTGGTTCCCTGTAAATATGATTTACCACAAGTTTATTATTGACACTCTTATTTATTAATCATTTATAAATATCATTATGCAAAATAGAAATTTAAATAATATATAATTTATTTTTTTACCAATCAACTTGTCGTTTCTGAGTAAAACTAGCAACATTTTCACCATTTTCTGATTTCCAAAAATGCATTTGAGGACTCCCTTGAGGATTATCTTTTGATACTAATTACGCACATGTAAATAAAGAATAAAATAAGTGAATGAAATTGATACTTTAAGTACTTTACAAACGATTAATAATGTTTTGTCTTTACCAATGAATGGCATCCATGTCATTAAAAATGTTCCTAGAGGAGAAAACTGCAGAGAAAAAACCTTTGGTTTTTCAATTACAGCAACAACTGACCAATTACTGCATAGACAAATTTTAATAACTTTGTCTGTAATCCAGCCAAAGTATTTACCATCAGGACTAAAAACCATAGTTCGACAAGCCTTGCTTTCATCTTTTGTGAACTCTGGGACATCTTCATACACCGGAGGACCATGATACAAATTAATTCCTTTCGAACTTCTCACTAAAACAAATTAAAAAATATACATGCATATTAAAGTTATTATTTGCTTAGAAATTCTGAAAATTAATTATTTACAATACAATTGTACCATATGACTTGACTCTTATTGTACTGTAAACAAATAGGTTACATAATTTTTTTTGTTGTTATTACAACTATAATGACCAAAGTTGATGTTAATTTTTGATTTTTATTATATAATTACAACTATATTGAATAAATTCATTACTTACCAGCCAGACAAGGGCTATTTACAGCCATATTTATTGATAATAATATCTTTTCGTGTTTTTCTTGAAGACAGAGCTATGCTATCTAGAAGGCGCCAGTGTTTGTACGTACAAATTTGTCTATTATCGAGAATACGTTTAATAATTAAAATTCTCTAACACTTTAATTTCACTAGAATGAAAAGGTTTCCTTAATTTACAGTTAATATTAGACTAGATAAACGCAATTTTGCATGTTACACGTTTTTTTTAGTCACCTCGTTCGTTGGGGTAACACGTGTACATGTACAAAAGCCAATTGCATTGGGTTACATTCAGTTCCACCACGTTAATTGTTAAACTTGAACGCGACCCAGTACTATATATTTTAGACCATAATATCCTGATAACCAAGTCCGCCCAAAACTCAACTATTACGAAGTTACTCGATTTTTAGTCGAACTTGCTCGAGGCATTTTTCCTACTACGTCTCAATTATAATGGAGATTTAAAATTTCAATAATTGACAGATTTTTCGAATCACTTGTTAATTGTTGATAATAACAACTGAAAATTAATATAAGTAATTAATTTTTCCTCTTCTATTGAAAAGTAAAATTTGATTGTAATTATAAAGATTTATTTTAGGATAAGTTCGATCAGATATAATGTAATGTAGAGAAATAGAGTATGGTTGGAATCTTTCCTAATTTTCTTAAATCGTTTCAGGTGTTTATCATGATATTTTTAATTTTTTTAAGTACCATAAATGTTGTACATTATGTAGTTTTGTAAATTTTATGGTCTTACTTTTGAATCATCAAAATTTGTATTCAGCGCACATTTTTGTGTTGTCCTATGGCTGTTTTTGGATACGATTGATAACATCGACTTCTATATCATCTTCAGTTAATAATAAGTATATCATCTTCAGTTAATAATAATAACAATAACAATGTTATAAAAAAGTGTTGTTATTTCCATCATCTTTTGTTGATTAGAGTTTTTGTGTATTTAAAAAGTATACATCACATATGTATACGGGTTTACACACATGTTGAGATGATGAGAGTTTAGTAATTTATTATTGTTCCCTATAAATTATCTAGGGAATAAAAATATTCCAACATTTCTTATACTGCTCAAGATTATTACCGTTTGATCAGAAGTATGGCTCTGAGAACGAATGAACGAGTGAGAAAGAAGAACAAGAGAACATGGTGTTCGCGCTAGTTTCTTCACCTTCGTGAATTCTCAAAAATCAAGGTTAGAAGGTAAAAAAGATAGAGATTGAAAAAAAAAATGTCAGTGGAAAAAAGAGAGAAAAAACTGTGTTTAAAATGGACGCTATACGGAGTATTTCCGCTTGCTAATTGAGCGTGACTTTTTGCTCTTTCATTTCGCTACCTCTTCGAATTTTTCTCTTTTTTTTTCTTTTAAATATAAATGATATTTTTTACGACTTTTTATGTGATTCATTTGCAATTTTGAAGACAATAACTGCCAAGTTGTGAGAGAAGAAAAAAGTGAGCGAAACTGAGAAAACATAGGAAAGATAGAGAAAGAGAGAGAGAGAGCGAGAGAGGAAGAGGAATAGGGGGAGAGAGAGAGCGAGTGAGGGCAATAGAGAAAGAGAAAACGAGTGAGCGAGTACGAGGAGACGCGACTGACGCGAAAGTAGAGATTTGATTATTCTTCTTCGTGTAAGGAGGAAAAGAATTCGGGTGTTTATTTCATTTGTGATTCATAACAAGAGAAAAGTTACCCAACCTCAACATCGGCTGGAGAGAGACACACCTGCGGCGCTCCAATGCATTGTCGGTGAGTTGTTTTTTTCCTTCACGTGTGCACAGGTAAAATACACACATACATATTCGTTCAGTCGTTTCTTTTTTGTATTGCTGTGTTTTTAGACTCTACGGTTTATACATGTAGTTCATTGGGTCTCTCCTCGTGCACCTTTGCAAGAGAACGGTCGCGATCGGATGAAAAGTGTGCGTGTAGACAAAGAAGCAACGGGAGTAAGAGAGACGAAAATAAAAGAATGGCGTTTGCCTAAGTTCCCTGATCGTGTAAGTGTGGATGCCTTCAAGCACTTCGCAAACTTTATTCTCTGTAAAGCATCTAACCAGAGAATATACCGGCTTGTCGTTTGTCTTATTCTGTCGTTTGTGTATGAAAGACGTAATACACTGTTCCTCCAAACTCGTTGAGTTAAAACCGTTTCAACATTAACGATAAAGAAACATTTTCGTACATGCTCCTTTTTCACAAAATATATTTTCATACGTGTGTACATATCTGTATGTATTCATTTACATATGTATCAAACTTAGTCTTATATTTTTTTGTTTTGATGTTATATGTGTGTTCACTTTAACGTGTTATACTTTTGGTAGCAATATTTATTATTTTCGTTTATTTGGAGATCAAGTTTTGCTTACAGTGTTGTTAATTTGTACAGTAAATCAATTAAGCATATGTGAACAAACGAAAGAAAAAAGTGTAAAAGGTAGAGAGTAAAAGAAAAACGAAAAAAAGAAAAGAGATGCCCGGCATCACAGTTATCGTGAAAAAAGTGGGAGTGTCACGATGCATGTCGCGCGAAACATGTTCTGAACTTTTATGTGATAGCAGCGTGAAGCTTTTAAAAATGATCATACTATGATGTTAATATTAATATTTTGATAATCTATTGAATAATATGATACCATTCGATTCATGTATCGAAATTTTTGTATGTTTCTAGAATGTTTATCAGATGAAATTTATACTTGACGAGATTTGCCATGAGTTCCGTCCAAACTTTCTAAGGGTGAGTATTATTTTCTTATATGACCTTCATAAATTTTCACACAATTAACATTAGAATACTGACCATTATAAATAAACAACTCCAATAGATCAATTTTGTCAACTAACTTTCTTACTATGATTGAATAAAAATTTTGTAAGTAAACAGAACCGTTGAACTTAATATGAGCTTGTAGTTAGCAGATAAAATGATGGAAGAATCTAAATGATGGATAACAAGGTGGGAAACTTCCAGGACCTATGCTCTACGCATTGATGGGTATATGCTTTTCCTGTAGGAGACCCTCTAGCAGTCGGCTGAATAATAAAATTTCTGAGCACATATCGGCATCGGTAACCCCGCTCCATGTTTGTCTGGAGGAACAAAGAGGACCAGAACTGGGTTCGTGTGACGCCGTGGCCAGTGGGACACAGGTGGAAATTAAATTATAAATTAAAAATATTCTGGTAAAATAATTGCTCATATAATGATGTTATGATAGCAGGTTAAAAGTAGCCGTGATCATTTGGGAGAAACGGTTAGCATTAAATCGTGGGAAACGGAGATAGAATCTACTCGAGTTGAATCAGACGAGTGGATTCAGCCAAGCATGGCAAATACAATCAGTAATATAAAAATGACAAACCCCATAAAGGGGTTAGTAAGTAAACGTCGCAAACGTTTCACAGAGGATGGATTTGACCTTGATCTCACTTGTAAGATGACTTTACTTCTATATTATATTGTGTATTACTAATAAAAATAACCAATGTTTATATTGACTTGAATTTTATTGCAGATATTCGTGATAATCTTATAGCAATGGGCTTTCCTGCCGAGAAACTTGAAGGTGTATATAGAAATCACATTGACGACGTGGTAAAATTTTTGGAGTCAAAACATAAAGATCACTACAAAATTTATAATCTTTGTTCAGAGCGATCATATGATTATAAAAAATTTAAACAAAGAGTTGTAACATATGCATTCGATGATCATAATCCGCCCAAATTGGAGCAAATAAAACCTTTTTGTGAAGATGTTCACGCATGGTTATCCGAAGATTGTAAAAATGTCGCTGCTGTACATTGTAAAGCTGGCAAAGGTAGAACTGGTGTTATGGTTTGCTGTTATCTACTTCATACAAAACAGTTTTCCACTGCCGCGGATGCTTTAAATTTTTATGGAACTAAAAGAACGACTGATCGGAAAGGAGTAACGATTCCTTCACAACGGAGATATGTCAGTTATTATGCGTCACTTATCCAAGAAGGGCTTCATTATCAACCTGTTCCTCTGATTTTAAGAAAAATTATATTAGATCCTGTTCCGATATTCAACGGCAATCAAGGATGTGAGTATTTCATTTTTTGATTTATTCTACTGTGGTAAATAATTTTTAATTTATATTAATAATTGTTGTAGATTTACATTTTGTGATATCACAGGAAAACAAACGTATTTACTCTTCTGAAACAGTTGAAATAAAAAAGGGAATGTCATCAATTAGCATTCCTTTAACTCATCATGTTTTGTTGACGGGTGATGTTCGTGTAGATTTTTTTAATAAGAAACCAAAAATAAAAAGAAAAGTAAGACATTTAACTATTTTATCTCTTTCTATTTTCATTAATTTTCTTTTGTTTTATTAATATTTTATGTTTTTTTTTGCTACTAATAGGAAAAAATGTTCCATTTTTGGTTTAACACATTCTTTGTACGTGACAATACACCAATGGAATATGAAAACGGTGAATTACCCGTAGAACGTTCTACAAGAGCATTAAGTTGCGATGGTACAGCAATGGAACTGCCAATGGTAACATCAAAACCGAGAACAAGTTCATTGGCTAATCTTGGTCAAATGTCGCCTACACTTATTTTAGACATTAATAAATTGGATCTAGATGATGCGCATAAAGATAAATATCATAAATTATATGCTAATAATTTTAAGGTATGTATAGATAGCACAGACATACTACATTTTGTATCACAATATTATTCTTACATTCATTTTTTTCTGGAAATATAAGTTACAAATTTTTTTAACAACTCAAAGACTAACTTGATATAAACTACGTACTGTCCGGGAAAAATTCAGGGTTTCTGAGGAAATTGTTGCGATAATAAAAACGCTAACTTTTACAATGCACGCAAACTTATAACAAAAAGCTTAAATGTAATTCATTTATTCTGTACTCACTTTTTTTTTATTTAGCAATTTTAAACATTAATTTTCTAGAGAAAGTTTACTTAAAGAATATTGTTCAATTTTATATGAATTTAAAATTAATTTTTTAATTAATTAATTCTTTTTTTTATGTATTTAACATTAATTTGAATTGTAGGTGACTTTGGTAATGCATCGACAATGGGAAGGAACTGGCAGTGGCATACCACATACAGTGCCAGCAATAGTGCCCAGACCTGATGAACAAATTGGTATAAGTGGACATGAGAGTCCAAGTGAATCGAGTGATGCAGATAGTAGTGAATGTGATACAACAGGTGATGAAGATGGATGGGAATCAGGTGAGTCTTCAGTATTTCTGATGGCAAAATCACAAGCACTTTTAAACAGCATTAATCGCACTACACACGATCAAAATTTTCAACATCTTCATGATTATAATCAACAAAAAATACAACAAACAACAACTACTCCAACAGCCGCAACAACAATAACTACAAAAACACCACAGATTTAGTTTAAAATAGTTTATTTATCAGGGATTTATATTTCGTATTTAATAAACAAAAAAGCGGGCAAAGTGCTTCAATTTCATAAAAATTTATTTACATTCGCACCGCCATGGCTATCCATGATTCTTTTTTCTCAAACAATTTTTAATAGCACACATCATATGTATTTATTTAACGAGCTCGCAGTACCACCGAGATTTATATCTACCAATTGCATCTTATTCTTATTGTTACAATGTAAAATTTTTTTATTATCACATAAAACTGTAATGCATGAATTCTCGAATGTAACTGCATGCTATCTTTTCCACATTCAGTAATTGGATAATCATAATAGCGTATCTTATAATATTACAACGAAAAGTTTTTTTGATTGAAGTACATAACGTCTTATACGATACTGGCCTGTCTATCTTCATTTGTGATAAGACTGATTTTCAAAACAAAATTCATCAAATTATAAATGCTTTTAAGCTACTTGTACTCAATCTAAAAACTGATATTTTTTTCTTTTCTTTTTTTTTATTTTTTTATGTGTAATATAATGTTAAAATTCACTTATAACAATATTAATTCCATAAATTAATACATATGATAAATGATGATGTAAACAATAAATAAACTGCAGAGTTAGATGAAAATAATTTTGTTAATTTTACATATTATTTAAATTGTCGTTATTTCATCAACATATTAAATTAATTTAATAAGTGATTTGCTATTACACTGCATTATACTGTTTTAAGCTTTAAGTTTCACGTTTTCAAATATTTTTAAGTATCGTAACATCATAAAAAATTCGAATTTGAATGGACTTTGAGTGTGTGAGTGTGAAAATCGTGAAAGCATACACCAAATATTTTAGGCAAAATGTATAGAAAATTTTATCTATTGACACAACGAATATAATTTTTTTGTCAAAATAGATGAAATTATTGCGAAAAAATTAAACTGTGTATGTAAAAGAAAAAAAAAACGATTATAAATATTATTTTAACTTAATTGTTTTTTCTCGTTATTTAACTTTTTCATGCTGAGTTTTAAAAGAAAAAAACATTAGTACCTTTGTATGATAACGCATGTTTACTTAATGAAATTAACACGAGACGTGATTGCATGCTCATAGTTTATTCAAAAATTAAATTAAAACTGTAAAAAGTAATTTTTAATTTGAAAACGTGCGATTGTATTATAATTCTTTATAATTAATTATAATTCTTTCTATCTTGTGATATTAAAAATGTTAAATATTTGCTATTCATTATATAAAAGAAAGAAAAGAAAAAAAGATAATTAATTTGAAAATTTTAAAAATTTTTCAACTATCAATGAAAAAATTGATTTAATTGAATATTTTCAATATACTTCTATAAATTTATTAAACAGCATATCAAGCACATCGGTTTGTTTTTATTTTTAAATTCCATTTTCGTGATATTTTCCCTGATATATTTTTAAATTGAAGCATGTATCAACACTACAGCATGATGTATTACGCGTAATACACGCACTAACACATTGTTATTATTTTATATAATATATTTGTATAATACGTGAAAACATACTTTACTTAATTTACATGAAAGAAAATAGTAAAATGAAATTTACCACGATATCTGTATATTGTTCTCATTCAGTGGACATGGATCAACGAGTCGGCCGATATCGTCTTCTGTCAGATGGAGGAATGATAGATGTTGTATGAATCCGCGTCGTCTTCATATTCTCTACTCCCGTCATCTTGAATCGTCCCTTCGAGTTTCGGGTATCACGCAATAACATATTAATAAATTTTTAAAAAATCTGTTTTTTTTTGCAATCCGATTTATAATTTCACAACGTTCTATCCTTTCTTTTTTTTTTCTTATTTACATGATCATTTTGTCTATCATCACCTTTTAATTGTTCTGTACACATGCTTATGCAATTATTGTATAGTTATTAACAAAGTAAAAAATATCTTAATAATTTATTTAAATACTTATAAATTATCAAAGGTATTAATGAAAATTACGTAGTTTTTAATGTTGATTTATTTTGATGGTTTTATTTATTGTTTTTATTATTTTTATATGAAAGGAAATTAAAATTATTACATGAAAAAGAGTTATTACAAAAAATTAAAAAAAAAAAAAAACCAAGAAAAGAAAAGGATGAGAACGTTACAAAGTTATATTGAACATAATTAGTATGAATATTGATATACAATGAGAAATCAATTACGAATATATAACATAGTATGACTATTTTCATAAGTGATAAATTATAAGTCAATAATTGTGTGTAGAGAATGCGTGTAAATGAGAGACTGTGCCTATTTAAATAAAGATATAAATGAAAAATTTTTTTAAAAAAGTTGAGTGATAATGAATATAAACGTAAGAAAATGAAACAGGAAATAGTAATACGTGCATAAAAAAAAATAATGTGTGTGCAAATATGGATAATCTTTTTTTTTTTTTTTCAAAAAATACTATTACTGTTTTATGCCCCGTGAGACTGCAACACCTCGACCAAGTTCATTTTTCACATAAAAAGTAATAGAAAATTATTACAATATTAATATTAGTATTATAATTTATAAGATGATGATACAATTACATAAATCATTAATTGAACACGTATTTGTCAGAGCCCTGTTTTTGATTGTACAAAAAGAATATAAAACGTTGTCTCTGAAACTATTTTATCAACACATTAACACATTCGATATACATATATTTAAAAGTATGTATTGAATAATTTTCTTAAATTAAATATCAATATGCACTATAGTGCTACTTTAACATTTTTTTTTAAATGATAAAAAAATAGAGATGTACCAGCATTAATTAATCACAATTGTACCGGGGCTTCTATAATTTGTCTAGTATAATGATCATCAGATAATGATTAATTATTAATTAATAAATGTTACTTTGCAGTGCGCGAGTCTCTTTCATTGTACATCCGCGTATCTTCCTGGCATCTCGTAATTATATTAAAATTGCAAAGTAAATGTAGATGAATTAATAAAAGAATAAATATGTTAATCGAAGATGAAAGAAAATTAATCACTTCAATAGGAAAAGAAAGAAGATTTAATTGCAAAAATGATGAATCTCACCAAATGAACAATTCCAATTATTCGCTTATTCTGTAAAACCTTATGGATGTAAATAATTAAATTTCGTCCAGATGATTGCTGTTGTACTGATATGCTTTTTTCATTGGGTATTCATATAAAAAGAAAAAGATAAATAATTATTCGGTACAGAAGAATATTTACATCGGATGAATAATTTTTAACAGACAAATAATACTTGCAAAAGAAAGTACCATTATAAATAATTCAAGAAATTTCATTTAAACCTAAATACTTGTGCCACGATTTTTTTATTTATCTGTACATTAATCGAGTATCATGCATATATCGTACTTTTTGTACCTATTACTCATTGTATGTATTGAATTTAATTATTAGGCAGTACGATAAAAAAACAGACTTATAAGAAATAATGGAATGAATGTAAGAATTAAGTGAGAATGATAAAAGTAACAAACACACTCATACACAAATTTTTATTTAGAAATAATAAAATCGATTATACCTTTTATCATATAATAATTTTTCTTACACTTATTTCTACCTTAAATTAATTATTTTAGGTATTATTTTGATTAATCATCAATGCATGCATTCTTATTTATGTAAATCTTTTCATGATATTAAAATGAATGAGGTGATGGTTGATAATTAGCAAATAACAAAAAAAACATTTAAATATAAATATATATAAATATATTAATATATTTATATATGTATATACTTATATATTAAATTGTAAAATATTTCTATCTATTCATACAAATTACAAAGAGAATCATATTATTGGTATAAATGTAAATGCATTAAGCTATATATTCAGTCACACAAAGATAACAAACTATGTTATGACTGATACTAGGTATGCTTACAGGAGAATCAACGTATTTGTGATTTTGAGACGTGACTGAGGATGGGCCACTGCAAGCTAAGCTCCTTTACAGACGACCAACCTTTATAACTAGAATAGTTAAATATTACTTCATGTACCTTAAAAAAATTTTAATCATACTTTTTGACATTATCATAACATTCTAACTTTACCTGTTTACTACATTGCTATGAGCATGAGTTCCATTTTTGCCTTTATAATTATTTTTTAATTGATTATATATCTAAAGAGCGAATTAATCTCAAAGTCCTATCCTTTGATTCTGTTGCTCATCTAAATTGAAATATAAATTTTCCAACATATTCATAAGTACGTAAAAATTAATGATTATGTATAATATTGTAGCATAGTATTTCTTTAACACGATTAAATATTGGTCCTTTATTAACGTGATTTATTTTGTAATGATAATGATATATTTAAAAATTGATTTGTATTTACATTTTTATTTTAGTTCATTTATTTATTTAAATTTGATAATTTTTTTTTTGTTGATCATTCATTTAAATTCATTTATTTATTAATGAAATTATGTCAAGTAACGTATGTGAATAAATTTTACCAATGTAATTATTTAAAAGAAAATTCATTTTTAACTATAAGTCTTATAATATGAGACTTATATCATAACATCAGCATAGAAACTGTGACTTGGATTAATTGTAGTAAATAAAAAATTATTCTTATTATCATAATCAACATTACCATCAACATTATGCTTTTATTAGTGACTTATTGCATTTTTATCATTCTTATTATTATTATCGTTATCACTATCATAAATCATCTTATTTTATTATTATTGTGTACTCAGTTGATCCTTTCTTTATGTATTATTCTATAGATTTTACTTACATACATTCATTAGAGACGAACAGTAAGAAAAAAATTTAACGTAATTTATTTGAATATTTATTAAAGTAATTTTAATCATATTCAAAAATTAAAAAAAAAAAAACAACCTTATAAAAAATGCTTGTTCAACCTAAAAAGTACAAATAAATAAATTTGATCTCAAGTAGAGTAAGGCTAACAAATTTAAAGAAAGTCAATTCTTTTAGATGGTATTATAATATTGTTTATAGTTTTTTGAGTTCATTTTCATGCATTATAATCTACACATTATGTTTCACACGCTATTCATTAATAATATGTAATAGCAATTTCATTAATTATTTTTCATTTATTTATAGAACAATAAAATGAATAAATTTCATACCAGTAGATTTGTCAGCTAATATTATTTATATCTGCATATTACTTTATAATTTTAATAAGTACGTAGTGTTTTCTGTATTATAATATATAGATATTGAATTAAAATAAGAAATAAATATAAAAAAAAATAATTATATTTATTTTATTCATTTTCTTTTGTCATAATTATAATACATAGACACATGATATATTTATGAATCATACAATAGCAAAAATAATAATCAAAGTAATCATCGTTTTTCAGTTCATTGGGATGAAGAAGTGTATGAATACATGATTCTGAATATACAAAAATGAAATTAATGAAGTTATCTTCCTCTTCCGCGACCACTACGATTGAAAGTACCTCTGCCTCTACCTGAAACTTTACCTTTTGGCGGAGGCGATTTGGGTCGCAATGCCTCTATCCTCTCTGTACAACCAGTTGTAATTTGTCCAGAGGCAAAATAACTACTATACAAATCAGCATTAAAATTTGTATTTGTTAATTCGGGTCCAACTGTGAGCCAGCCTGGTCTAATTGTGCTATCTCTTCCAAATAAATGAAGTCTAGATAAAACAAATTATAAATAATTATTATTGAATCATTAAGCCAAAAAACTAATATGCAAATTATTTAACTAGTAGATCAATAATAATACTTAATATGGAATGGGGAAATGATTAATAATTAAAATTTTTTAATCATTAACTATTTTCAAGTATAATGTTTAAATAAGATAATGTATTCATTTAATTTAACTAAGAAAAAGGCTAATTTCGATGTATTTTATTAATTTAAAAATAAATTAATGATCTGTTAAATAGAGCAAGAAATATATTACCTTCTTCGTCCAAGACAAAAATGTTCAATAATATGAAATATCTCCACTGGTTTTTCAATAGAACCATACTCTGGTTCTTCAGATATAATTAGATCAATATCGACATTAGCATGAATGAAATCACCATCCGTGGATCGTCTTACAGTTCCTTTAATGCCCATTAAACAATGCTCTTTAGTTCTCTGAAGAACAGCTTTACTGTCAAGATTTTTACTATGACCAGGGTTATTAATATTTGTACGAATCCAACAAATATCTTCACAACGACGAAATCCCCATTTGCGTAAACAAAAACGTCCCATATCAAGACCATCACTGCTTCCACACCAAAGGAAAACAAAACTACGATTTGCTGCAACTTCGCCTATATCTAATTCCATTATTTGGTCCCAATTCCAAAGTTCAACGTTTGTAGCTCCACAAGTTCTCTGATATTCTTCCAAAGGAGGTTCAATTAAAATAACATCAAATTTACAATTGAGTTCTTTTAAATTATATGTTGATAAATTTGTTTTTAAATACATGGGAGGTGTTGCAGTTTCAGATATTAAATCATCTTTGAGCTTTATTAATTCACGAAGTTTTGGATATTCTTCGAACCTGTCGGCTAAACCTACATCTCGAATAAAATTTTGTGGTCGTTGACCCGTGTCAATGAAATGTTGACAATAATCGTTGTGTGGATTCGATGATTGAGTGCCCTGAAAGATTATAACATTTGATTTTTTTTAGATTTTTCTTATATTGATTGTAGTTGAATATTTAATTATATACACACTTTTAAAAATGTAGAAGAATCTTTATACACTATTTCATCAGTTATGACATTGTTACTCTCTTTTTGATCTTTGATCGTTTCACTGTCATTTTCCAGTGTGTCCTTTTCTTTCGCTTTTTTCTTAGGGTTTTCATCAATATCTGTTCCTAATATTTGTCGCAATTCATCAATACTAGATACTCCAAGCTATAAGAGGAATAACAGTAGAAAATATTAACAAAGGAAAAAAAATCTAATGACTATAGATCCTGTGATTTTTGTAACTTACTGTTTGTGCGAGTAATTTTTTTCGTTTTTGAGAACGTTCACGGAGTACTTGAAGCATTCTTTCAGTATTTAATATATTTATTCACTATTATTAAATTCTGTTATTAAAATATTTACATATTATATACCTCTTACCAGAAAAGCCATAAGTTTTATAAATAAAATTTTACTTTTTGTCATTCAAAATCTTTGACATTGAAATCATAATGTTATAAAAAAATAAAAGTAATCACAATTTAAAATTAAAAATAATTAATTATTTGTTATATTACAAAATAATTAAAAGCACAGTCATTAATGCACTTATGCATAGCTTTTACAAGTAAATTTATGTCAACATTTACAAGCGTCTACAGTGAGGTTATGTTTGGATGAGTAATGTAGATAAATTTTAGTTTATGGATCCACCGATAGATGTCAATCAAAAAAACCGCTAAAAATTGAATAGAAAATATTGAAAATCAAAATGTCAGTAATGAAGGCCTGTTAGTAGTCATAAATAGCTAGAAATATATATTTTTTTTGTTCCAAGAACAAGATTAGTTTTTGAGCTTTATAGATAAAAAAATATATTAAAAAACTTTTAAATCCCTATTTCGTTGTGAAATGACAATCAGGAGTGCTCTTGTCAGTTTTTGGTCAGTACTTTCCAAGCTTCAACGAAACACTTTATTTATTGTATTATCTTAAATTAGATATTTATGCTAAATGCAGATAAGAAAATCCATAACATTGTAAAAGAATCCGACAATAACAAGATTTAGAAGACAGCAGCAAAGATATTAAAATATAAATATTTCTCTGAAAGAAGTTTTCAATATTTTATCGTCATCACGATTTAAATTAGCAAAACATATGATATTGTCTTCTGAGAATTATCCAAGATGCAACACGCTCTGTGATAAAACACATCCATTTATAGAGCTTGATGACTGATGAGAAAATTAGAAATGTGGGAGTATTTGAATTGTGCCTTGATATCGAAAAGCAGTGGTTAATGCATGGACACATGGAGCGATGTCTTGATACTGATCTTGCTACCAAAAAAGTATATGTCACAAAATGTGATCCTTCATCGTCTACTCAGAAATAGAGAATTGAGGAGATCAACATGAAAGCAATTAATGACCAGACGAAAAATTTGTAATTAAAAAATTATCAACTTTTCTACTAAATCAAATTTTTATTACTGAACTTTAATTGTTTTAGACTTCATTTCATCAAGTGTCTTCATGTTATTTTATAATTAGAGAATTCAATTAAAATCATATCGACTAGTCATCGATGATATAATTCATGTTTTTTCAATTGTTCATATACTGTCATATCAAAATGTAAATATTGTGATTTATATATACATTTTCAAATGTTATTGTGCCTTATATTCTTGAATTGAACAAATCTTTCTAATAAATAATAACTGCTACTTTTTTTACGTGTAGTGGTCACAATGTTAAACGCCATGAGCAAATTATGATGTTTACATCAACCTGTAGTTTTAATAATCTCATCATTTTTTACTTGGAAATTATTATCTTAATACTAAAATTATATATTTTTATAAAATAAGTGTAAAACTCAATTTTGGAGTTCGTTTTAATTGCCGCAATCGGTGACAAATGGCACGTGTTTGAACTGTTCTGAACTCTGGTTATACGTAAACAATTTTTTTCCTTCACAAGAATATAATACGCTACAAAGAGTAACTGCCAAGGTTGCGAATCGTATTTATTTGTGTATACATATGTATATTCAGATGTCCGATCATTCGAGCATGAGAAAAATAAAATTGAAGAAGTGTTGTTTACTTTATACCCCTACTCCCCCTACTCCAAGGCTTACCCGCCAAAACCTCCAGCAATAAAATGTATAACGATTTACTTATACTAATAGACTGCGTGACGACGTCCAATTAACAGGACGAACTTCTTTCGCGTCTCGCTAGTTTAGTCTCTAGTTCTCTTTACTTTATTTTACTCCGAAATTATTTACTTTTTCCTAGAACTTGAGATTACGTGTCTCTTTGTCTTTCACTTCTTCATTCAATATCAATCCGATGTTCAAGATTTCACATCAGTGATTACCAACCCTTTTCGGTTGGTTGCCCAATCCAACGATCTCTATTTTTTCAACATACTTCTTGCTACTTTGCAGTCAACTAGATCATCTTATTTATAAAAGAGGTAATCAATAATATAGTTTTCCAATTTTATTTCTTCTCAAAGATTAATGAGATTTTATTTTTATGTTTTTAATATTTTTTATGATTCTGACGTAACAAACGTTCTTTTTTTTTTTTTTTATTAATCAAATATTTAAAAAAAATTAGTAAAAATCATTAACAAAATGCGTTGATTTTTAAAATTTCAATCGTTTACTAAATTTTAAAGTTATAAAACGGTTATTTAAGTTATTTTAGTATGAATTGAATTTCAAAATTAAAACGCAGTTAGTTTTGTATTCATCAATAATAACTTATTCAATAACCATTTGAATACTCATAATAGATAATATCATGCCTTCAGTAAATTAGTTTTAATAAGAAAAACTTCACAGGTTTATCTTTACTATTATTTATTTTATTTGAGTCGATTTACATTCAATTAATGTATTATAAATCAACAGCTAGCTGGAGGTACAAAGATGAAACCAGACGAATTGATCCCTCTTGAACGGCGGGCTTTGGAAACAATGTCCGAGACATCTGAAGGCACTACAACAACAAGTGTCTCAGGTCATCATGGATTCGAAACACGTGAAGAACTCCTAGAGTTTGCAACTATGTTAGGAGTTACTAATGTTGATGATTTGCATCGTGAACGCTTCCGAGTTGATCGCCGTAAACTGGAACAGATGCTTTTGGGTAATTTTATATATTCTAAGGAGTATGTTCTTACGTAAATTTTTGGGTAAAAAATAGAACTTGAGTCTAAAAGAGTAACCCAACTTAAAAATACCTGAAAAACAGAAAAAATATTTTAATTTATTTTGTGAAATTTTTGTAGCAATTGGAAAATATTTATGAAAAATAATTTATGAGTAATTTTTAAATAGGAAACGATGACAATTTAGAACCTGCTGATACATTTTTTCATAAGGTATGCTGGTATTTTCTGTAATAATAACACATGTATGTGAAATGTGTTGTTTTCAAAATTATCGTTATTATGTTAATAACAAATCAAGAGAACTATTATTGTGATTTGCCATTTTTAATTTTTAAAAATCAAAAATTGTGTCATTGATCACCAATTAAACTTAGATAGTTTAAATAATTTAAATAAATAATCTACAATCAGATGGTAAATTAAATGCAATTACTGTAAATGTATATTCATATTGAAAGGAATGATTGCATGATTAAGTGAGAATAAGTAGTCCGTCCAGTTTACTTTAGATCAAGTATTGAAAAACAAGTTATTGAAATATTTATGTATCTCTTTAAATAATTAACCCATTAATTTGTATTATTCGGAGTAAATCAATTTTATTTATAATAATCATATAAACGGTTATCAGGTCAATGTGATAGTTGAACTAATGTTAATGTCGATCGTTAATAGTTAATCAATTTTTAAGTTGTGAGCTTTTCTAAGTAAATTTTTTCAATATTGAGAATTAACATGATCTGTTGAAAAAATCACAGAGAAAATTTTTCTACCAAAATGACGGTTATAATATGTAAATTATATATATTTAATTTTAAATTTAGTGGTAAGCTTTTTTTATATAGTTTATTTTACCACTATCCTTTTACTTTAAACTTTTTTACTCTTTTAATTGAATTTATATCTTATATAATCAAGTATAATATGACTTTATATATTGTAGAAACTATTTTTAGTCTTGTTATTTTACTAATACATTTAATTAAACAACAATAAATGTAAAAAAGTGTTATTATTTGTTTATCATCTATTGATTTATTATTTTTAGATAATGGATAAGACAAACACTCTCATAACGTGGCCATCGCGATTGAAAATTGGTGCCAAATCGAAAAAAGGTCAGTTGAATAGCAACATATTTTTCTAATTTGTAAATTTGCAGCAATAACTATTACTCCTTAAAAAATTATTTTATTGAAAGATTCTCAAAATATTTGAAATAATTATTTTAATCAATAGTTTAATTAAATGATACAAATAGAGATTCTACGCTCTTTTAAATTCCTTAAAATACATTTATTATGTTTAGATCCACACATCAAAGTGGTGGGTCGAATGGAAGATGTTCGATTAGCTAAAGAGAGAATTATGCAAGTATTGGACACACGGGTATGTTGAACAAAAATCAGAAGTGAATTATAAATATATAAAAATTCTTCGTTCTTATCAAGTAATACTTTTACTCATTTACGAAATTCTGGTAGCAGAGTATGCGAGTAACAATGAAGCTGGATGTAAGTTACACTGATCACTCACACATTATTGGAAAAGGTGGCTTAACAATAAAACGTGTGATGGAAGAAACAGGATGCCATATTCATTTCCCTGACAGTAATCGAAGCAATCATCAAGAAAAAAGTAATCAAGTGTCTATTGCTGGTGAATTAGAAGGAGTTGAAAAAGCTCGTGCTCGAGTTCGTGTAAGTTAAATCTCATACTTTATTATTTATTAATTATTAATTAATCAAAATAATAATGATTACTAAATTCTTTATTACTTCTTATAGAATCTTACGCCGTTGATTTTTTCATTTGAATTGCCAATAATGGGTTCAATACAAACAATCCCGGACTCAACATCACCTTACATCATCAAAATTCAAGAAAAGTACAATGTACAGGTCATGTTCCGTACTCGACCAAAATTGCATGCTACACTTGTGGTCGTTAAAGGATGTGAATGGGAAGTAGCTCAAGTAAAAGAAGCTACATCTTTTCTTATTCATCAAATGTGTAAAAATTTGGCGGTATGTTTTAATTTCAAACTATAGCATTTAGAACGAAATATTATTTAATTTATTATTTAATTTATTATTTAATTTATTATTAAATATTTTGTTATTATTCTAGAACCAAATTTCCGTACAAATGACTATGGAAATTTCGCCACAACATCATAGTATTGTACTTGGTAAACAAAATAGCAATTTGAAGCTTATTATGCAACGTACATCTACTCAGATTATTTTCCCTGATGCTGGTGACCCAAACATACCCAGCCTAAAAAAAAGTTGCGTATTGATAATAGGAGGAATTAATGACGTTTATCTCGCTCGTCAACAATTGATTGGATCACTTCCTCTCGTACTGATGTTTGATCTTCCCGAAAACTCTGTTCCGTCTTTCGATACTGATGGAATATCACAATTGATGCAAAATTTAGACGTTTTCATCAATATTCGTCACAAACCAAAACAGAGTAGTCTTTCGGTAATTATAAAAAGTGTTGAGAGAAATGCAAGTAAAATGTATGAAGCAAGAAGGCAGTTATTGAGTCTAAAAGAACCGAAAGTTCAAGCATCAATACCATCATCATACAACATTCCACATGCTAACAACGCCTTCTTGGGAAATTCACATTCAATGAATGGAAACTTAATGGGATTCTCAGATTCTCTAGCCAATGTACAATTAACAATCAATACTCAAACCCCATCACCGTACAGTCTATCACCATTATCATTGTCTCCAAACCCGATGAACTTTTCATCAAATTGGGCAATTCCTTCGCTCTTTTCTCCTATTATTAATCCTACTTCGTATCCCTTTAATCATCCGAATGTGCAACTCCTAGCTGCAACACGTCAAGCTATGCAAGCAAATTTACTTAACAGTCAACAACAACACCAACAAAATAATCACAAATTAAATAATCCATTCCATAACCATTTAGTTGATTATTTATCATACAGCAGTGCTTCTAGTACACTGTCAAGTCCTACTGATAGCCCTCGGAATGTTTCTCCAATTGGAACAGTTGAGCATGCTACAAGTATGGATATTTCAAGTGTATTATCAGATCTTTCATTATCTGATCGTCAGAGTGATAGTAATTCAGTAATGACTGAATTACCGAAACAACAACCAAAACAACACTCTCAAAACCATCTGTCTACATTTGATTATGAACAGAAGAAAATTTTAGCTGTGAAGGCCATGCAAAATAAACTTAAATCTTCTGAATATCGAGTTCCAACAACTACTTGGTCAGGATATGGATTCAGTCAGACAATGCCTGCAACTATTACTTCGTTAGATTCGACTGCCAATCAGACATGTAATTTACTTAATGAGCATTCATCGAACATTTGGGATGATCCGAAAACTCCTTTGGCATACACACCACCATTGAATTTCAATCTTGATACTGAAAAAGACGACCCACTTCCGTTAGGTATGACTTCTACTTACGTCGATCACACACCGAATTCACGACTTGAGAAAATTCTTTCTGGATCTCATACTGATTTAGCGAGTATGCTAGCTAGTGTTGGCCTTGAAAAATATATACGTAAGTGACATATTTATCTATTTAATGGTAATTAATATTTTATCAGTTAAAATAGTTCATTCATAAATAAAATTAATTAATATTTTTGTTTAGGCCTCTTAACATCTCATGAAGTTGATATGACTACATTCCGTTCACTAACTGAAAAAGATTTGAGTGAGATTGGAATTACTGCTTGGGGTGCCAGACGTAAAATTCTTCTACTTATTGCCGGTATGTTTAGTATGAAAATTATTTTTAATTATCTACTTTGTTTTTTGAGGTATTTAATTTATTAATCAATCATTTATTTTTTAATTTTAGAAATTAACAAACGAACTATGCCATTTTCTGGAAGTGCTGCACCGGGAGCTGAACGAAAGTCGTCTTTAACAAATTCGTCAAAATCCAATTTACCCAGTGCAAACATCGAAAATAAATGGTAGTTCTTACTATTTTCATAAATTAAAGAAAAAAAACAAGGAAGTGAAATTTTTATCGTAGTGGTATTTGTTAAATAATTAGTAAGTGGAAGGTTGTAACGTACTTAATGCATGTATTTATATTTTAAAAAATGATAAAATCAAAAAAAAAAAAAATTAATTAAATGAATGAAATTTTGTTAAACACGTGAATTATATATACTCAAAAATCATGCATGTATTTTCTATTTTTTTGTTTCTAATGTATTCGCTTCCTTGTTAATATTGTACCAAGTACAAAGAAAGAATAATTAAGTATATTTTGCCACAATAATATGGTATAAATAATAATAACATTTATACACAGCAGATCTTTCAATGCGCTTATGCTGGTAATTACGCGTATATGCATGATAAATAATTTATAGAATTTTTATTATATTCGAATTTATTAGAGGAATAATCCAATTATAATTATTGAAGAATTATATACAGTAAAGAAATTTCAAATTGTATACTGACTGGTATTTACGAAACCGTGTCGTATTTTTGTATCTGTGATACTTTCCCGAAATCAAAATGATTCTACATGGGAAAATAATTAGTAAATGAAATTTATTTAACCATCATAGTCACATTAAAAAATACACACCAATATTTCTTAAATTATATTATGAACATTTAATGTGCATCCTTCAATGAATTATTCTGGAAATAATTTATTTAATATTCTATAATAACATATCAATAAGAATAAACATTTGATTAATGTATTGTAGGCTGTGCAGTGTAGTAATTGAATATTGTAAACTATTCAATAGTATTATTATCGATCAATTAAATGAGCTTAGATATCATTTTCTCTTAAACCATAATAATGTGTGATTTGAGAAAAAAAGTAATCATCTTTTAATGTAAACTTTTGTAGAGTTAAAAATACCGACGAAATATGACAAAAATTTTAAGAAATCTTAAAAATAAATCTGCCAAGTCAAATTATGTGTGTATAAATAGATGTTGGAATTTTGTTAAAATTTATAATGAGACAATTACAATAAACAAATTACTTAAGCTGCACAAATATACTTAATATTAATTAAAAAATAGTTTGATATTTTCACTAATTTCCATAAATAAAATATTGTCATTTAAATTGAATTTAATCAATACTACTTTTTCTTTACTTTTATAAACAAAAAGATTTTATTAATAATAAAAACAATCAATAATATCAAATATACAATGTTTAAAGAATCTTTTTATACCTCATTACTTTAAAATTCAATTTTATATTTATGTATAACAATAATCAACAATAAGAGTATATACGTTAATAAAAATGTATAATATTGATCCTTCTTTAAGTAAATTACAGTATTTAATAATCTTTTTCTAATTAAACAGTATATACTTTTTTATTGGCACTGTGTAATTCTTGTCCACAAGCTAAGCATTTGAAGCTTTCAGTAGCAGTGAAGTGTGCTTCTAAGCAGTAATAGCAATAAATATGTTGACAGCCAGCATGGTATGGTAAAGTTGGAACTTCTTCACAATAAGGACATGTTGTGTCAAGCTTCATTAGAGGTTTTACTAGAGAGCTGTTGTTGTTATGTTTAGTTTTTCTCAGAGTTAAGTAACATTGTTTTAAAAAATGAAAATTTATCGCTGGTAATCCTGCTGAAAATAAATCCAAAAGTCCATGCCATAACAATTCTCTTGTCATATAAGAGTATCCAATAGTTCGTGCTTTATGATTAACTGTGTTTTGATGTGTAATACCCAAAGTTCGATCTACCAATGTTGGATACTTAGCTTGATTCAGAAAAAATAGCAAATTCACCAAATTTAATATTCTTAATGAATTTATTATTTTCTCAACGTATTTTTGAATATTTTTTTGTTCAGTGATTCTATTTTCATCAAGATATCTATCTTTTAAATATTTAGGAAAAATTGAAAATATTAAAAATAATGTTGCTTTTGTTCTAGATAAATGTAAGAAATTCAAGTCCAATAACTTTTGGCCAAATGTTGATTTGTTTTTACTCAAAGAAAATACTCCTATTGCAGTACGTAACACTGCATTTAATTCTGGATGAAATGATTGAATTACTTTTGGCATGAAGTACTGAAAAATCTCTGTTGTTCTTGATAATATAATTCTATCAATTTCATTGTCAAGTTGTAAGGCATCAAGTTGATTGATACGAGATACATATCCAATAGAACCCATTTTGGATTATTTACACTTACTGATTTATATGCAATTGGGATGAGAAAATAAGTCTGTTTTCAATATATTAATTGTTATTTGTTGACATTATTTTATGATATAAATATTACTTGTAAGTGTAAATCCTAGTGTTTATAAAATATCTTCTCAAGAACACTTCTCATTTTCACACTATCTTCAAATTTACTTCATCATGTTGCTTGAGATGTATTGAATAAAGAAGACACTTTGCATGTCACATTTAAACACACACATTTATTAAATAATGAACAACTAATGTACATTGTACCTGTATTTATTTAGTAATCAAAATATTTTTATTCTAATGCAACCTGTAGAACACAAAGTTATCGACATGGTTAAAAACATGGTTTTAGTAAACATCTGATAGGTGTCGCTATTAGGACTTTCTAAATTCCAGGACATAGAATAACCTCAAAATCATCTTTCTGCCAATCTCTCTTTTTGACAGAAAACTTACCAAAATGGTTAGTGAATGTCCTAATTCATAATCTGTTTATTGTTTATACATCTTTAAGATGATCATATTACTAAATTTCTATTCATTAATAGGCTAAAAAGCGCAACAACTTCGATTTTTTATTACAATGAGACTATTAATTAATTTATAATAATCCTTTAAGCGTTTTCATATTTTTTTAAGGTTATGACAATGGGATGTATTTATTAAATGTTTTTATTTATTTCAGGGTAAAGTCAAGTGTTCAGAATTGCGTACAAAAGATAAAAAAGAGTTGCTTAAGCAACTCGAAGAACTCAAAACTGAGTTAACTAATCTTCGAGTTGCTAAAGTTACTGGTGGAGCAGCTTCTAAGCTTTCTAAAATGTAAGTTAGTGATGGTCATTGTTTATATTTTTTATCCTAATCATCTTTCAGTTTTGGTTTTCAAATTGCATCGTTTTTTCGTAAATCATATGAATAATTAATGTTCCAGACGTGTTGTACGTAAAGCCATCGCTCGTGTATATATTATTATGCACCAAAAACAAAAAGAAAACTTGAGGCTTTTGTATAAAAACAAAAAATACAAGCCTTTAGATTTAAGGCCAAAAAAGACACGAGCTATCAGGAGGAGGTTGACGCCTTTCCAAGCAGGTCGTAAAACTCTAAAAGAAATTAGAAAATTATCTGCGTGGCCAATGAGGAAGTATGCTCTTAAAGCCTAACATATTTTATATACTTCAAATTAAAATAAATTATAAAAATGCAAAAAAGAAGTCTACTTGTTTTATTTTAAAGATAAGTAGTGATGTGACCTAAAAAGGTTTTAAACAATAAAATTGTATTCATACACAATATTGACACTCCATATTATGAAAATGGATTCAATTTTTAATAAATATATTAATATATGTTTTACTTTCATATTATAGAATTAAATCAGCTATAAGATTGTTATAGGCATAAACATCTTATTTATTTCATATTTTTTAAAAATATGATACATTATTCAGTTCGTGTAAATTATTGTAGTTTAAAACTTGAATATTAATGCTAATAATAAATATATTGTTGACGTTAATAGTTATTACTTTTTGGAAATCGAAAAGAGGAGAAATTACCAAATTTCGATTTTTTAATGTAGAAGTTTTTCCCGGTTACATTACAAATTTTTCTACTCTTTTAGAAGATAAGAATTTTTTCGATAATTCCAGGTATTTTATCTTCTGTCGACAATTTATGCAAGAAGTTCCTTTTGTTGTACAGAGGTCATTCTGCACTAAAGCCGAACACTGTAGTCGCCATGTTTGTTTTTAAAAAATTTCCTTGGTAACGTTTCGTCTAAATTAAAAAAATTATTTCAATTACTTAAATTATTCTCGCAATTTTATAGAGATTAAAGAAAAAAAAACATTTAAGCTCATGATTTTTTATATTCGAGTGCAATTTCATATAAACAGCTGAAACCGTCTAGTCTTTCAGTGACGTTTCCATGTTTTCAGTATTCAAGATGGCGATTGGGAGCAAAATGCGTTAAGAAGTGTTCTACTCATTATTTTAATTAACTCATTGATATAACACATATTTTTAATTTAAATAATTGTTTTTATATTTAGTTTTTATATTTAATCGCCTGATACTGTGATATCATAAATAATACAGCTATGAAGCGTGTTATTTTATTTAAGAATGGTACAGAAGTCAATGGCAAGGTACTTTTTCACTTGTACACTCATTTTTTTCATTCATTTATTCATTTTGAACTTTTATTACTACCGATTTGGATTTTTTTTTATTTATTCATGTTTTCAAAAGCTTATTTATATTGTTCCATTCAAAGTAATTGATAAAGTCTTTAATAGAAAATTTATCTCATTTTTATACGTTGCAGGTGTTAATGGTGACACATTCAATTGAAGAATTATTAAAAGCAGCTAGTACGAAGTTCAATATAACAGCAAAAAGAGTCTTTACTCCTCAAGGCGGGGAAGTAGATGACATTAAATTAATAAGGTATGGTCAAGGTTCAGCCCTTTTTTTTCATAATCAACCGAAATTATCTACTAAATTTAATTTGATAAAAAATAAAATGACTTATAGCATGAAATAAACTATAACATATTATGTTGATTGTACTTTTTAGTGATAAGGATTCTAAACCGAAATCATGCCTGAGTTCGGTATGACATACATTTCCTCTCATTTTCAATTATCCTAATAATTTGTCATAATGTTTATTCTAGGGATGACGATATTTTATATGTGTCATGTGGAGAGGAGTTCATTGCAAAAGATAATAATTTAATGAGAAAAAACGATGACTGGGTGACGCTTAACGTAGGTGGTAAACTATTCACTACTACTCGAAGCACATTAACCCATAAAGAACCGATGAGTATGTTAGCTAGGTAGAATAAAATTTATTCATGCTTTTTTTTACCAATTTTTTCCGAAAGATACTTCAAATATTTTTCTAATGATTTCATTTATTACTTACAGAATGTTTACTGAAAAAGATGACACAGATGAATTCCGAATATCACCTAGTAAGCAAGATAGTAATGGTGCTTTCCTGATAGACAGAAGTTCTTTATACTTTGAGCCACTTTTAAATTATCTTCGACATGGTCAACTCATCCTAGATGCTAATATCAGTGCAGCAGGTTGGTAATTTGTTATTGAATAATATAAAGTAAAATAAATATGAAAGTGAAGTATAACTAATATCTATCATTATTTGTTTAATCGTTTCATTTAAAAGTTTTCATTGCAATAATTTTAAATAATCGTAAAAAGGTCAATGATAGCTATTACTTACGCTCCATTTATTTTATCGAGTCTACTTGACCTCTTATTGCTTTCCATTTATATTCAATATTCTGAAAATCAATTTTTCTGTCTTGTAACTTGACTTAATGGATTAATTCCAGGAGTACTAGAAGAAGCTCGGTTTTACCGAATAGAAGGTGTTATTAGTACATTAGAAGAAATGGTAGCAGAAGAAGGAACAAAACGAAAAGGTACTGAGGCTTTAACTCGTCGAGATGTATTGAAAGCAATTATGTCTACTTCACCAACATCAGAATTACGGTTCCAAGGTGTAAATCTAGCTGGCGCTGATTTATCTCGTTTGGATTTACGAAATATCAATTTTAAAGTAAGTCTTTACGTTATCATTTTTCATTATTGCTACAGCTATTTTTTTATTTTCTTTTTTTAATATTTTCCGGGTACGAAGAGCGTTGCATAAGTTTTGAAGCGTAAATTTTAACATTATCCATTGCTGGGTGGGTGTAATTTTAAAATGTTTGAAAAAGTTGTTCATTTGTCCTTCTTTATTTTTGTCTTGTGATGTTGCAGAAAGTCAATTTAACTTTTCTAGTCATTTTAAAGTAAATAGCTTTATTTAAGATACATTAACGTGCCATCAAAGTTATGTTAAAATAGTAAATGCAATATATAAATATTTGAAAACTGTTTCGATAATTTAAAAATATTCAATAGCTACATGAATAGAGTTTATTACTTTTATTTAATATTACGTACGCATCGTATTTTTAAAATTCAAACAAATGATATAAATTTAAATTTTAACCCTCTATCTGCAAGTATCAATAAAACTTCAAGTGCACGTCATTCATTATTCAAGTTGATGTAAATTTTATGTCTTGAACTTCGCTTGCTTAATTCACCAACTTTAGCAGCAATTAAGTTGTATTTTCCGGCCATTCAAATTAAACATTCTTGGCAATGTTATATAATGAGCGTGAAACTTGCAGTATGCAAATCTACGTGGATGTAATTTGGTCGGTGCTAATCTGTCAGGATGTTGCTTGGAGCGAGCGGATTTGTCTTTTGCAAATCTCGAGAACGCTCAACTAGTGTGCGTGAAGATGCTGTGTGCTAATCTTGAAGCAGCAAATTTACATTCCTGTAATTTCGAGGATCCTAACGGTCTGTCAGCCAATATGGAAGGTGTCAACCTCAAGGGCGCTAATCTGGAAGGTAGCAACATGGCAGCTGTTAATCTGCGAGTTGCTACTTTAAAAAATGCTATTTTAAAGAACTGTGATCTTAGATGGGCTGTACTTGCTGGTGCAGATCTAGAGGTATGCTGTATTAAATCATCTGACGAATTAATTAACCCCTAACAGCTTATTCATTTTTTTCTATTATCTTTTACACTCGCGAACATTGTTTATATTGAACAAAAAAATTTTTTTTGCTCAACTTAGTTTTTAATTAATAATGGAAAAATTAATTTATTAATAAATTTTTCAGTCATGTGATTTATCTGGCTCCGATTTGCAAGAAGCAAATCTCCGTGGTGCCAACTGGAAAAATGCGGCCTTTGAGCTCATGCAAACCCCTTTGCACATGTCACAGACAGTGCGATGATAATTATTGTGATATCTATAGACTTTGAGGCAACGTTACTTCATTATTGCTTATATTTAATGGCCTGTAAATGGTTAATTACTACTAAAAGTGGAACTTATCAACTATTTATATTTGATAAGTATTAACCCGGATATTTATTCTGAAATGTATTACATTGGAATTAAAAAGCACACTGGAATATAAATTATTTATATAGTAAATTATATAATATAATGAATAATGTATTTTTATGATGGTATTAATAGTATACGTCAAAATGTATCGTTAATACCTGAAAAATTGTACAGTAAATTTGCAAGCATTTAGATTTTTATATGAGTTATTATATCTTAATATAATTACGATTTATTTATATCGATTATTAATATAATAAACTTTTCGTTTTGTTAATTTTTATTCAATTATTCTAGTACTTGTTCATTGAGTATTTTATATAGTTGATATTTTTTTCTCGAAAACTAGTTTCTTCTTATCGTAGCTAAAACATTTTCCCAAGCTCTCTATCGTTGTGGGGAACTACTTTATGGGATCCACTGAATAATTTATTGCCACGTAAGCCTGGAAAAAGTCTCTTCACTGCGTTTGTAGCTTTTTGCAAGACATTTCGTAGGATCAAGTGTAGTAAAGACTCACCATTGCTGATTGTTGAATACAATCGAGGCAGATAGTAAAGAAAAAAGTGTTTTCTAAGTAAACTTGAAAAAACCTCTTTGAATTCTATCTACCTATTTATATGAGTTTCTTTGTTATACGTTGATTGTTGTTCATATCGATAGATATTTTAGAGTAGATTTTCCACAAATGCAGTAACAAATGTGCGAAGGAATTAATCTATCCAAGCTTATCCTTCAGCTTATCTTTAAATAATACCGTACTTGGTTAACCTGCATGATGACAAAACTGTGTTGTAATGTAATGATTGCAATGTTGTGGTTGAATTTTGTACCTAAGGCGAAGCGTGTTGTGAGCAAACATATCGACATATTGCTTGTTGCATGGGTTGTATACAGTTGCGAACTTACAAGAGTTGTGATCAAATCCATACCAATAGAATGACACATAGCCCTAGGTAATATCTACCAACGTCAACCACATGTAAACGATGCTTGTTTGTTACAAAGACAATTATGCAGCAGATCAAGTACGTCAGTATAAAATTTTACTAGCAAACCTTAAGTTTCGTGTTTTATCATTTTTTCAGCTGCATTGAAGGTAGGATCTTTTTTATAAGGCAATATCGTTTAAGCGAGTTATACTTTATAGAAGACAGATATGTTATGGAAAGTCCCACGTAACATACGTATAAGTACTTAACATTTTTAGAGGATATAAATAGAGCTTTTAAAATGTCAAACTAAAGACTTGCTGCTGTTTAAAGAAAACAAGGAAGCAGAACATCCACTTGTTGCGAATTAGAATCAAGTAGTGTTTAGTAAGTTTATGGATTTATTAATTGAATTTATTAGGTAGGAAAGTAAATATAGAAAGTATAAAACAATAAAAAGCCTCTCTTTTAGTTTTATTATTTATCTTGTTTGCTTTTTTAACGAGTCATAAAAGTTGTTTTATGGGTAAATAGCAGTTTAAAAAGCTGTATATGAGAATTGGTGTGACACGTTTGTTGTATGCTGTGAGGCTAACTTTCGAGTAGTGCAATACAAGGACAAGGACACTGAACATAATCTTATCTCAGCAAAGTTTAGTAACTGGTGTATTGTACAGGGAGTTTGTAGGTTTGCTGAGAAATACAATTCCCTTAGCGACATTGGAATAGTCCACCGTCCACCAAAGCACTCCCAAGTAAACTTCAGTATACCTAAATCAAATGGACTACAAATCTGCTTATTCTCGTAGATAATTACAAATGGAATTGATTAGAATTGACAATAGATTTTAAGTACATTTATTAGTATCCATTTTCAGTAGTTTTCTATGTCAATACCAAGTGGTCTAGAATTTTAGCATGCTTTTGTGTTCATTTCAAACGTTGATTACTTCCTAATTAACTGTTTCGAAATCTTTGAAATTCACTTTATATAATGTGGATGTTTGTATGATATAAATTGGCTTTGTAACAAAATTTATAACTCAACAAGTAACCATGAACGACAATCAAAACTAAAACTGTTGTTTGTGAAAGTTCTTCAATTAAGTTTTTTTTAAATTAGAGAATATCAATAAAGTTTGGTCACATAATTGACGGAGTGAAAGACAAACTTGGAAACAAGTTTTTTAAAAAATATTGTTGAATATAAAGAAAACAATAATATAACTTATGGAAAAGTGGTAAATTAAAACTTTTATTACGAATTACATTGGTCATACAAAACTTGATCTTCAAATATTCAATTTAATACCAAGTGGCTACCAAACTTGGCTATACTTGAAATAAAGTTGAAGGTCTTATGACTTATTTATTTAATATTATTAAAGTAAAATTTACTGCTAATTCTAGCATAAATTAACTGGATCTTCAGTATAAATTTGATGTGGTTTTATTAAAGCTTTTAAGAACTTAAAATTTCATTTCAGTGTATTTTAGTGTAAACCAAGTGTAATTCAGGTGAAAATATAGTGTAGACGTGGTAGAATCAATATCCATCAGAATTACTCCAAAATACACTCAAAATCACCGTGGGATCTGGTGCATCAGTGTCGTTATTTCACATAGTTTTGACTGAGCTTTCTTCACAGATACTAAATATCTAAAAATGACTCTACTTTAATATTTTAAAACTTCAATCTTTAATTTCTCTAACATTTGATCATTATTATTCAATTAGATTATTCATTCGTAATAATTTTCTTGAGTGCAGATTTTATATTAAAAATTCAAATGAAATAGAAGCACACCTGTATAAAAAATGAACCTTTTTGAAGAAACCTTTATAGTACAATTGTAATTAACTTTCACACGCCTTCTCGTTACAAGTAATTGCGTTTGCCAACTTTTATTTCGTTGATTAAATGTTACCTCTGTATTTGCGCACAGCTGGTGTATCATGTCTATCTCATTGAGAAGAAGAAAAGAAGAAAATGTGAACCGGATATATGGTACACTTGCAATCAAGCGTTGCAATGCTTTTGGTTTTTTTCCTTTTGTCTTCAAAAAAGTTATATTGTGTGCTACTGTTGACTAGTCATCTGTTGCAATCACAAATACCTGCAGATACAATATAATCCAACAGATATTCTTTTTTTACTGTCAATATTTGCGGTATGATCAATCAATACATCCAGACTGGTGGATAAAAAATATTAAAAAACAAGCCCATAAGAAAAATAAGACACATTTTTTGACATTGCAATCTTCCTTATGTATCTGCACTAGAAGTTTTATGAAACAGGAAAAAGGCTGATGATGCAGATTGAATGAAACTCTTAAAAGAAATCCATATCTTCTGAAACTCGAACTGCTGCCAAAAGTATTTCAAGCGAATGATGTCAAGAGGAATTCGCACCATGTCTTCCTTTGGAATATATCCACATTCCTTTTAATTCAATGCTAGAACTATTTCATAAATGTTTTCTTATCATAAGCAAAATGTTATGAACAAATTGTTATAGTTGTTTGTTTTTTTATTTTTCATTCTGGTAACTTTTAAAACTATCTTTCGAGAGCAGGTGTGCTCAATTTTATTCTTAGAAGGTTCCATTTTGTATCTAAAAGTCCTTTGGACTGAAAGTTTATTTGAATATTTAATATTTTAATCTTTTAATATAGAAATGAATACCATGGAATGAAATATTAAAATTAATATTTAAAAAAAGATTTTTAATCCAATAATGAACACCCAAGAAGTATTGAAATGATTAATATTTATTAGAATCAAAAATTGTTTAAAAGAAGATAATAAAATATTTTTAATTTATTATCATTGACTATCGATTGGTTTGATTTAAACGTAGATGCGCGCAGTCACGTAAACTTTCGTGACTTTAAGTCACGTTGTAAATTTGCACTTTGAACTGTGCAACTTACGTGGGATTTATTTAGGCAGGTTTGAATATATGAGTTCTCTCATCGTAACTATTTCTCCTTGCTAAGTATCTTCACTTCTTACTTCATTAAAAATCCATATTACTTCTACTAAATTTGTTAACGTCTTTCAAGATATTTATTTGATTTTATATCCTTTTATTTTCTCACCATTAAAAATATAACTTAATCAATCATAAGCTCTGATAATTTTCTAAAAACAACACATATAAATTCAAGTAGATTATCATTTTAGAAATAAATTATCTTATCAAAATGGAGTTTTCATATTTAATAAAAAAAAAAATTCTTTTTAAAAAATGTCTGTTTGGAAATGTTTTAGATTTGAGAAGAAGTAGAACTTCATCTTTGGAACTTCCTTCAAATAAAACTTCACTTAACAAAGAAGAATTAATTTACAATTTTTACGAACCAAACTTGCAATATGTGTCATAATCTTCTTTCTATAAGAAAAATTTTCAATAATTCTAAAAAAATTTTTTTTTAATCTTTTTTCTTTAATTTTGGATTTCTGTTTTATTTAAAACTGGAATATTTTAAGATGAACCTTTTTTTTTACATAGCTTCTGATAGAACTAAAAGTTCATAACCCTTTAACCCGACCTGTATGCAGGATGCACTAATGCTAAATTGAAACGTCTATATATTCAGACACATGAAATTGCTTTAATGTAATTAATAACGACACTCTAATGCAGCCTTGTATTACTAACTTGCTTCTAGAGTAATATGATCGAAAAGCTCCAGGTACTTATCAAGAAAATCTTTACAAAAGTATCTCCTCCAACATTCCCTCACCCTCTCACTACATTTTTCGATTTTATTTACGTTATACGATAACATATATTCCATGTAAGCATTATTTTTATACCTCCAATAATAATAAGATTTATTCGATTCATTTTAGAATTTTTTTTAAACAATATATTTATACAGCAACTCATTCTAAATGTATAAGTAGTACAAGCAGAGTAGAAGCTTCTTTCGACATTATCCACAAAAGTAGTCACGTACAGACTATGTCAGACAAACTATCTTCTTGCAGAATCTGGCTTCTAAAGTCTATTTCATGCTGTATGGTTTGCATTCCTATTGGTAATACATTTCTATCTGCTCGAGATCGTCTCTTTATCCAATTTAATCAAGAAAAGAATATTTTTTGCAGTCAATTCCTTTAGATCCTCACGATTCAATATTTTCCAGACTTTATTTTAATAGATTCTTCATTAACTCTTACGCTTCACTACTCCACAGTAATATTCTTACTTGCTACCATTTTATCGTGATTGTAAAAA